GGGTCTCCACCCCAGCTGGGAATGAACTCGTGCTGCAGTGGTGCAGCTAACCCATTATGCCAACAGGGAGGACTTATTTATTTATTTTGCGTAACTTGGGGTGTAATCAAGAGATGTGGTGGTTAAGAAAATTCACCAGAGACAGAGTGGGGAGCAGAACCGGCAGGTTGACTGAAATACACTGCTGAGGGGGGCAGCAGGTAAGACAGGAGAGGTCTGCTGCGCCATATGGGTCAGCTCCCTGGCTGGGGATAGAACTCAGGCCTTAGTGGTGATAGAGCTGAGACTTAACCCCCTCCCAATCCTCCCCCTTATCCCTTTAAACACAACAATCTAAAGAGAGAGATTTGCCCAGATAAAGAGCTGTGACCCCCAGGTAGTACAGTTAGAACCTCAGAACAGATTTTTAGCTTTTGATTTTTCTCTTTAACAACATGCTACCATACATACTGTTCTGCACTTTCTCCTGTAGCATTTTTTCCTCTCAGCATTACTAAATACCTTAATAAGAACATATCAGCCAAGTGCCTCCTACATGCCAGCAATTGTTTGCTATACAGCAATGAAATAGAGAGACCCTCCCCCTTAAAGTGCGAAGTCAGACAGGGAAGACCCAAGCATGGCATGTGCTCCAGGAGAGGTGTGCACCTTTCCCACTGCTCTGTGTGTCCTTCTTGGAATTCAACTAAGTCATTTTATCTGGTTATTCTTCTCTCTTCTTCAATTTAAAAGCCCTCTAGATGAGGACAAGTGTTCTGCCAGAAACACTCTCCTAGTTCTTATGAAATTCAGAGTGGTAAAAGAGACTGGAAGTTCCCCAAACAGGGGAAATGGCAAGTAAAGGCCAGGATGAGGTGGGAGGTGGGTGCATTTAGGAGGCTAACAAAGCCAGCTGGGAGCAGGCATTAAAAGGTAAGTGTGGGCCCTCCCTGGTGGCTCAGCGGGTTAAAGCACAGCACTAAGAAGCTAAAGCCACTTCCGCATGAATTCGATCCCCGCCTGCCCCGGAGGTGACCACATGGCGTGGCAGACCTCTCCTGACTGGCCCGCTGCTCCCCTTAGCAGTGCACTTCGTTGATCTGCCTGTTCTGCTCCCCACTCTGTCTCTGGTGAATCCTCTCACCCTCCGCATCTCTGGCGTGTACCCCAGTTCTGTATGAATAAATAAATCTTTAAAAAAAAAAAGTAAATGTGGAAAGGCAGAGAGTGTGGAAAGGCCCAACAGGGACTACAGAGTGCTCAAAAGGAAAGAAGGTTCTTTGTGCTTGAGCCACTAGGCAACAAGGACCTATTGTAAATTATCATCTCTGATTGATAAGATTAAAATGTTATTTCAAGATTACTCAGGTTTTAGAGGCTCAAATCAGAATATTCTGAAAGGTGGAGGTGAGTGAGGCTCAACAAATACCTATGAGAACTCTGATTCCAGGCACTGGAGAAGGGCTAGGTCAACTCCTGCCTTGGAGGAGCTCACAACCAATAGTGTAGCAGCCATGATGACACAGATATTGGTCAATACAAACCTGGGTAGATAAAAATACTGTGAGAGGCCTTCCCTGGTGGCACAAGGGGTTAAAGTGCAGCACTATGAAGCTAACTGCAGCCACTGCAGCACAAGTTCCATCCCCAGCCAGGAAGGTGACCCACATGGCGAGCAGACCTCTCCTGTTTCACCCGCTGCTCCCCTCAGCAGTGTATTTCAGTATATCTGCCTGTTCGGCTCCCCACTCTCACCCCTCCATCTCTGACCTATACCCCAGCTCTTGTATGCATAAATAAATAAATCTTTAAAAAGAAAAAAGATACAAGTGTTGAGGGGAAGGATGTCCTAAAGGGTCCTAAAGGAACTCTGCAGGGTTTTGTGGACTCCACCCCTACTCCAGCTTTCCAGACCCTACCCCCTACTCCAGTGACTGGAAACTACAACTCCCAGCAGTACCAGGTAGAGAACTTCTAGGACCCAAGGGTGAAGCTAAGCAGCATTCTGGGACTTTGGGGGATAAACAGGGCACCATCTGCTACGGTGTTCTCTCAGTTCGATAATGGGTTAACAGCTCCCTGGACCTTGGGAAGCAGCTCTCTGGACCCCATGCTCCAGACTTGGGGCTTTCAGTTATTTTGTTACCAGAACTCCAAGTCAGCTGGTAAGATATTCCAGTTACTTTGTATCCCTCTCTCTTTCCCTCCCTTGTTTCCTTTTCTTTTTCCCTTTTTAAATAAACCCATTATTGACCCTTTTGTGTGTCTGTAGTACAACTGAATTTTAAGTGCGCAGGTGAGGCCCCACAGACAGGCGGCCCAGTTCACACTGAGGTGCCCTGTAACACAAGTACTGTGAGAAGGAACAAATGTAGAATGAAAAGGAAAGGACCAGAACAGTCAACTCCAGCTTCTCAATTTCACCTGCTGAAAAAGTTAGCTATGAGAAAAGGGAAGGAGAATGTTAGAGGGCAGATAACACTTTGGGACAATCTTTCCAGATTAGGAACAAAACAGCTAATGAAGGAAAAACAAGAATATTCTCTTAACAGTGATAAGCCAGAGGGCATGGTCATAGAGTGAGCCAACTCAGTTTTCTTCCAGAATCTTCTACTAACCCCATTCAGCAAAACTGAAGGCAGCAAACTGTAGGATGGCAGGCCAGAAAGGAAGGTAGAAAACTGGATTATGGTTGCCTAGAAAGGGGGTCAGCATAGAATTGATGGAGGGGACAAGGGAAATATCGGGGATTTCAGTATAATGTATCTTGTATAGATGGTTGTAACCAGTAGTCATACAATTGTCCAAACTCAAACCTAACACTTCAGAACTGTGCATTTCATTGTAAAGTGTATCTCTACATGCTAACATGAAATTATAATACTTGAAGAGGGCAAACAATTTTACTAGAATGGGTGAGCGACTTAAACAAAGATGAAAATAAGACCAATAACAAATTTCCCATTCAGTCTGAGAACCAGAGGGATTTGGGTAAAGGGTCACTGACACCTCCCATTTACCAGACCCTGGAACAGATTTTTAAAATATTTATTTATGTATACAAGAGCTGGGGTGCACACCAGAGGTGTGGGTGAGAGGGGGGAGAGGATTCACCAGAGACAGAGTGGGGAGCAGAACAGGCAAATCTACTGAAACAGCGGGTGAGACAGGAGAGGTCTGCTGTGCCATGTGGGTCACCTCCCTGGCTGGGGAGAACTCAGGCTGCAGTGGCTTCTGTTAGCTTCATAGTGCTGAGACTTAACCCCTTACACCACAGGGAGACCAGGAACTGACTCATGTATATCAGCTGTCATCTCTAGATCTACACTGTTCAAGTAAACCCAGACAGAAATGTACTCTGGTCATCCCAGGAAAGAGTCGGCTAGCTGTTACAGAGAAGGTGGGGTTAGACAAATGCAAACATTATAGAGTTGCCTAGACTGATCTAAACTATGTAGGAAGGCTGGGTATCATCAGAAGACAGAAAGGAAGAGGAAAAGGAGGTGGGGCAAAGGCCAGAGATGCATGAACTATCTGTGGGAATTTCCTTAGATATTTGAAAAAGCAGGAAATTTGGTCCATCTCCTATAAACTTCACTCCCACAAAGAAAAGAATACCATGTTTAAAAATCAAATAAAAGCCAAAACTCTGTTGTTAAAATACTTAAAAGGCCTGGAAAGACAAGCAGCCCACTGTGACTTGAGAGGAATTATACACCTTCTGTTGAATTTTCCTTGGGAAAGCACATGCTTTTTCTTTCAAGATTTATTTATGCATACATAACAAAGCCAGAGGTGCAGGGGTGGTGAGAAGATTCACCAGACTCAGAGCTGGGAGCAGAACAGGCAGATTGATGGAGTACACTGCTGAGGGGAGCAGTGGGTGGGTCAGGAGAGGTCTGCCGTGCCATGTGGATCACCTCCGGGGCTGGGGATTGAGTTCGCACTGAAGTGGCTGTGTCCTTACCTGTTGCTCCAGGCCCGCTTTTTCATTTTTTTACAATGACATTTTGCTTTAGCTAGTATGGGATCAGAGAGCAGTGTTGCTAAAAATTAGGACCCTGAAGGAGGGACTCTTCGCAGCTGTGATCCTGGCCTGATACACCTATGGGCTGAAGGTGGCATCCTTGGACATTCCTTCACGGAGTCTGGTACCTTCCTTTGATTCTCAACCAGGGACAGAGCCTGAGGGAATCAAGGCTGGGGGCTGGAAATTTGAAGGTCTAGAGCACAATAGCAATCTTTCCAATAAAGGACCAGATAGCAGAACTTTAAAGGACATAGTCTCCATTGCAAATATTCTGCCATTTTTGGTAGAATATAGAATACAATAGAAACCATGTAAAGTGGTCTTGGCAGTAAGGCTAGGAGGTTTGAGGTCACTGGCCTAGAGCAGAGTTCCTGGCTCCTGACCATCAGAATCACTTATAAAACCACTACCCCAGATCTCATCTTCACCCTGCTTCCTAATCTGGGGTAGTGGCTAAGATCTTCTTAATTTGTTTTGTTAAGCTAACAGTTATTCTGAGGTGCATCCTAGGCTGAAAACAATTATTCTAGGAGAAAGAATCCAGGACTGAATAGAGGTATAGATAAAGATTAGAAACTGTTTTCAGTTTACCTGACAAATTCAGTGTTTCCAATACCAATCTTTTTAAAATAAAGATTCATTTATTTATGCATATAAGAACTGGGCTTCAGGCTTCCACCAAGGCGGCCCTACTCCTAATACTTTGGTCAAAAACTATTTATTTGGTGCTTTTATGCACACAGCACTGTAAAGAGATGCCCAACCCAACAAATCAGTCCGTTCCTCACCCAGAGAAGGGGGGAGCAAGATCAGGACACCACCTTCCAGCTAACCATTTTTCTTTTTGAAGAATTTATTTATTTATGCACACAAGAACTGGGGTGTAGACTAGAGGTGTGGGGGGTGAGAGGATTCACCAAAGACAGAGTAGGGAGCAGAACAGGCAGATGTACTGAAATACACTGAGGAGAGCAGCAGGTGAGACAGGAGAGGCCTCCTGAGCCACATGGGTCAGCTCCCTGGCTGGGGACAGAATTCAGGCTCCAGTGGCTGTGCCACCAGGAAGGCATCAGCTACCCTTCTTTCTGCAACCATTCTCTGTAGGCTCCTGCATAGTTGCGAGCCCTGTGGAGACAAAGAGGGTGAGGGAAGGAAGACCTGGGGCCCCCAATCCCTCCCCAGTTAGCAAATCTCCTTTCCCCATACCCTGCATATCCAAGGCCCTGGGCCAGCTGCGTGGCAAGGAAGCCCCGCTTGCCAATCTGACAGAAGAAAATGAGATTCTCCTCTTCCAGCCTTGGTTTCTCAGCAGCATACAAAGCCTGGAAAGCAGCTGGCTCCATCTGCAGGGCACTTTCCAGCTCAGACACTGGAGGGGGAGTCAAGAGGGTAGGGGTGGCGCTCTCAGGTTCAGAGATTGGGTCTGGAAGGACGCCTGAAGGTCGAACAAGTCTTAAGGGGCCCCGAAAACAACACCCAATGGCCAACACCCTCCAAGCTCAAGACCATCCTGCTGTCCCCAAGGGAAATCAGTCAAACAACCTTTGATCTGATGGGATCCACTTCCCAAGAGTTGTGAGGAAGGAGACTCTGGCATCCAGCCTCAGAGCAGAGAGCTGGTAAGGGGGGTGGGGGAGGATGGGGGGGTCCTCCCAGCCTGTTATCCCCTCAAACAGGAAGGGCCAGTTCTAAGGCCAAGATCCGCCTCCTGTCAGCAATCAGCAGTGCGAGAAAACTCAGAGGTAGTACAGAGATTGCAGGACTGCCACGCCACCCCACCCCCACCCCCGCAACACCCTACATGAAGTCCCATTGGCTAAGACCCTCCAGACCCATCAACTTCACCCGGTGCCCCAGTCCAGCCCATACCCGGAATGTTGAGCGCGCTGGGGATGGTCCCCGCAGCAGCCTCCTCCCGAGTCCTCACATCGATGAGCCGGGCCTGGCCCGAGGCCAGGAGCGAACGCAATTCGGGGAGCGAAACAGTGGGCACTGAGGTGGGGGCACGTTAGCAGTGAGCGACGTCTCCCCCTTATGTGCAGCACCCGCCAGGGGGTATGTGCGTTAGGACCTCCAGGCCAAGCCCCAGTCCATCCGACCCGTGCACCTCCACCGGGAGTACAGGCAGTTCTGGAAGAGCCCTCTGCTCTGCCCCCCTGCGCCCCACGCTAAGCCCATGCAGGACACTAGGAGCCCTCAGTTCTCCCCCCCTTGCGCCATCTACGCGGAGGTTCCTCCAGGGGTACACGCAGGGCAGGGGGCGCCCAAGCCATCCCCCGCAGGTACCTCCAGCCATGGTGCGCACTGCAACTCCGAGTCGCTGGAGAGTGACCCAGCCCAGCCCGTTGAGCACCCGCAGCATCTCCCTGCGCGACCGGAACCGGAAACACAGGGACAGCATCCCGCCCCGCCCCGCCCCCGCAGCACCTGCACACGTGCCGACTTAGCCGGCCACTGAAATCCTAGCGCTGGAGGGCTTGGGCGGCTTCTCGCGGTCCGCCCAGGAGCTAGGGCACAGTGAATCGTTCAGGTACAGTGCTAGGACTTACAGATACTGCAGGGGCAGCACCTCAGCCTGGCCCAGCCCTTACTGGTCAAAGAGCAATGTGCTTCCTCCCTTGTGTCATGGGGCCCACAAAAGGAGGAAAACCAAGAAACAACTGTGGCTCTGAACATTTTATCTTAAAAAAAAAAAAAAGAAAGAAAGAAAGAAAAAGAAAAAAAAACCTCCCCACAGGTGGAAGGCCCAGAGTGGGCCTGTTCTCCCGGGTTCCAGAGACTATGTGAGATTTCCTCGTAGGCCTTAGCTGTGTGCAGGCCAATTTCCTCTTTCTGGGAAGCAGCCACTGCTAAGCATCCTATCCCCATGTTTCTCTAAAGCCTATTCCCCAGTATCCTCAGATGCCCATCTGAGTTCCAGAGACAAGAAGAACCAGTGGAATTGCCAGAGTCCTGGGGCAAATCGGAGCAGAGCTTGTCAGCAGTCTCTGCTGGCTCTGTTAGCAAGCACAGGACCGGCCCCGCTGTGCCCAGCATCCAGCACAGAGGCAGCACATGCACTGTGCAAGAGAGACAGAGGGCTCCAGGGGCTGCGTGGTGAGGCTGTCCCTGCATGTCCACACGTGTCCCTGGTTCATGACCCTGCAGGCCCCTGTATCTCAGGGCCTCTGTCCAAAGCCACACCTTCTGAACACCCCCAGTCCCAAGCCAGAGGTGGGCAGTGAAGGAAAAGGGCATGGGTTAGCCTGCCACTCCTTGGTTCTGCAGTTCTCAAGACGTCTGGAGGTCCAAAGCCCTGAACCCCCAATTAGTTGCTGTCATTCTTGATGACGACCTCGACTCCATGGTGCCGCAGCTGAGCTCGCAGCAGCAGGTTCTTGTTTTTAAGATCTTCCACCTGACACAGAAATAAGGCAGTAAGGGGAGTGGGCGTGAAAGCTGGCACTGCAAGCCCCTCATTTACTCAGATATCTCCCATAAGGGGCAAAGATGGGAACAAAGTCGGGAGGCCCACACTGGCTTAGTGGCTCCATGTCAAGGGGGGTGGATGATCCTGGGGGCAGAGTTCTGACCTGCTGGCGAAGCACATCGTTGTCCAGCTGTAGCTGGTCAAATCCCTGCAGCTCCTCAGACAAGCGGTGGTTGCTCTGCCGAAGCTCCTGGATGTAATCACAGGCTTTGGATAGAATCCCACCTTTACTCTGCAAGAAAAGCCCATCAAAATGAGCACATGACATCAGACCCTGGATTTCTTTCCCAAAGCACCCTCACACTTTGGACTTCATTTTCCCCTGAGGGCAGCGGTACAATAGCACCCAGGGATACAAAGATTGCAGAGAGAGAACAGGAAAGCCAAGTGTGCCCACTCTCCACCATGTCTGGAAACAATACCAGGAGACAGAATTCAGGCATCCTGCCCACTACCAGTGTCTTTCCATGACCTGGCCAGACTTGGTGCTCTCCATGGAGCAATCTGGGATGATCTTGGACAACTGCACAATCCAGTTGTTAATCTTGTCTCGGCGGCGACGCTCCACTGTGAGGTAAAGGGGGACAAGGTGACTCAGAGAGCGTTCACTACAGGCCTCAAGGCACAATTACCTAACCTCTCCCCAGACATTACAGCTGTGCCCAGTCCTACCAGACTGTTGCTAGCTTCACACCTGCATCCTACCCACCTTCATTATGCTGAGCCCTGCGCTTCTCATCCCGCGTCGTCCTGGGAGCTTCTGATTTCCTGACAACAGAGTTGGGATGGTCAGAATTAGGAAGGTCAAAAATAAGACTGGAGCTAAGGGGTAAAGAATCACATAAGATGATGGGAAGCTCATGGGGATTACAACTGAGATGGAAAAATGCATAAAATGATATAAAAATAAATTATTATATTATTTGAAAAAAAAATCACATAAGGTTCAGCAAAGATGCAGTCCATTTGGGGTAGTTACTCACGGGGAGTAGGGATGGGTCCTGGGGGCAATGGAACGCTGGCTCCCTCCTTGCAACACTTCCTGTGGTGACATCATCACAAAGAACTGACCTGTGAAGATGCAGGGTCTATCAGGACATGGGGCCAGGAATCTCCTCGAGCTTCAAGGCCAGGGCTGGGGTACCCTTTACAAAGACAGGCTCCCTCCTGCCGGACCAGCCCCAGCTTCACAGCCTGCCCAGGTCTTAGTTTGTTAGGGAGTCATGAGCACATCCCACACCCTCACGAGGTGTCTCACCAGTGCCGGGAGGGGTCGCCTGCCCCAGCAATGCCTCTGAGCCCTGGGTGGTAACCACAGCCGCCGTACTCCCTGATGTGGTGCCCCCTGCCCCGTCTCCCACAGCAGTGCTGGGGAAGTAAGTATAGTGTGTCTCAGCAGCTGTCCCCTCTGTGTCAACTGCATCATCACTGGTGAAGGCACCCTGGATCACTGCCTGGGAGGGGAGAAGAGAACAGAATTCAGTGACAGTCAAATGCCACTCCAAGAAATGCTCTGCAGCTTCTATTCCTTGAGGAAGGGAGAGAGAAATATTTAGAAAGGAACAGCCTAGTGCCCGTGAACAGGCAGCCCTAAATCCTTCCCCATCTCTAGCCACCCTCCAATCTGTTGGTTCTGTTTTTCATCTTATAACTCAGTTCTCGAGCCGCATCCCCAGCCCACACCGCTGTACCTGAGTCATAGACTGAGTGGCGGGGTAGCCACTGATGGCACCAGTGCCCTCAGTCTGGCCATCCAGCTGCCCCTCGGACACCTGGATCACTCTGTACATCACCTAGATGGGGAAGAAAGGGAGAGGAGGGGAAGAGAGAATAAGAGAATAAGTTCGGGGGTTCCCACAGCCCCTCATAAAGATGATCTTAGGTAGGGCCCGAACAAGTCAAAGATGCAAAGATTCTTCAAACAGAAGTTTTAGAATAGGTCTCCCCAACCCATTACCCATCTCTACCCCAAAGCTTGTATCCCGACACCCTCCCCCCAAACAGTCCACATCTACATCACATATGCCTAGTCAGGTCTCCCCACAACAAATTCCATCACCTCCCTCAATCCCCACCCCAGATAAACCTGTAGCCACCTTGCCCCCTCCCTTACCTGGCCCCCATTCTCAGTTCTGAAGACGTACTTGACGTTGGGATCAGGGAAGGTGGCAGCGGACTGGATGCTGGCAATCGCCACACTGGTGGGGTCCTCCCCAGTTGCCACTGCGCCTGAGTTACAAGAGCCAAGGAAAGGCTGTGCACTCCTGCCTGTCTCCCTGGGATCCACTTGCAAGTCATTTAGAAGGGAAAGGTGCACAGAAGATAGCCTGGGGGACACGTGGGGGTGGGGGGTGGGGTTCTTAGTCTCAGGTCAAATTCTATGCTCACCTTCCTGAATCTGTACTGTCCCCTCTTCAGTTTCGGCTGTCTTCTGCTGCCTGTTTGTGAAGGGACAAAAGGAAAAATAAGGGAAGAAGGATGAATTAAGAGCTCATTGGTCCATAATATATGGTCCCCAAACTCAACGGCCTTCCCCACACACACTAAGTTAGGTTAGAGTGACAGCGGCTAGTACTTACTATGGAGGTAGGCCATGAGCTGAAATCGAAGCAGGAACCATCTAATTTAATATGAAGGGCACTGAGAGATAGGTAATACTACCTGTACTTTGTAAGTGGGAAAATCACTCTGCTTGTAAGTGATGGAACTGGACCTGACTCCAGAGCCAGTGATCTGAGACATGTGAATTCTTCCAGGAACCCCCTCACATCCTAGACCCTAGTTCTTCACTCACCCCTTCATCTCTCTGTAAGGGGGCACATCCGAGGATCTGGTCCTGCTTTGGAGGTCTTCAGATCTCCACAGGCCTGAGTGCTAAGTCCTGGAAGAAATTAGGGAGTTTATAGTGAGTCACGAAAACTGAACAGCCTCCTGTTTCTAGAACCAAGGCTCCGTGATGACACAACCCAGTCAGTGAAGGGGACCACCCACTTCACTTTCATACCAACTGGACTCCAGTGATTAAAAAAAGCAATTTTCAAAGTATTTCTATCTCCCCACCCCCCATTATATCAGCGGGATGACACTGGAAGACTGAAACAATATTTCTGGATGGATTACCTTTAAAGCTATTATGATCTATTAGGACAGGGGATTAGGAAGGGCCTCGATTATCAAAAAAATACAGTGTCATGAGCACAAAGCTTCCCAGCCACATACTGTGTACCATGAAATTTCTGTTGTCTAATCTAGGAAGGGGAAACTTGAAACCCAATGCTACGGGCTGGCCCTTGGACCCCATACCATTGACAAGGCTCTTGTTTGGGGGTATCTGCTTTATGTCATTTGTTACGATTCTAAACTCAAATGCATTCTCTTCAAGGTTTAACATTTTATTTATTATTTATTTTTTAAGGGCCCTCCCTTATGGCTCAGCGGGTTAAAGCACAGCACTAAGAAGCTAAGACCACTTCAGCATGAGTTCGATCCCACCCAGGAGGTGATCCACATGTTTTTTTTTAAAAAACAAATCTATTTATTTATACATACAGAACTTGGGTACAGGCCAGAGGAGCAGGGGTAGTGAAAGGTTTCATCAAAGACAGAGCAGGGAGCAGAACAAGCCGACTGACAAAGTACACTGCTGTGGAGAGCAGTAGGCAGGTCAGAAGAGGTCTGCCTTGCCATGGGGTCACCTCCCGAGCGGGGATCGAACTCATGCTGAAGTTGTCTTAGCTTCTTAGTGCTGTGCTTTAACTGGCTGGGCCACCAGGGCTTAACATTTTATTTATCAAGCCTTCCTATAGAATAACACAGTTGCTAAAATGTTGCTATTAGTACTCCAAAGCATCTGAGCCTCAGCAAGAAAGAGAAAATCCGGTCTCCCTGTTGGCCTAGGGGTTAGCTAGCACCTAGATAGCCTTCCCCCGCCACAAGTGGCCTGAGTTCCATCTCACTGCCAGGGAGCTAAATCCACATGGGGCAGCAGACCTCTCTTGCCTCCTGGGCTGCTCCCCTCAGCAGTGTATTTCTTTTCTTTTTTTTTTTTTTAAGATTTATTAATTTGTGCATACAGAACTGGGGTACAGGCCAGAGGCTCAGGGGCAGTGAGAGGCTTCACCAGAGACAGAGTGGGGAGTAGAACAGGCAGATAGATCTACGAAGTACACTGCTGAGGGGAGCAGCGGGCGGGTCAGACGGGAATTGAACTTGTGCAGAAGTGGCTTTAGCTTCTCAGTGCTGTGCTTTAACCAGATGCGTCACCAGGGAGGGCCAGCAGTGTATTTCAGTGGATCCACCTGCTCCCCACTCTATTTCTGGTGAATCCTCCACACCCCCCAACCCCTGCACCTCTGGTCTACACCCAGTTCTATGCAAAAATAAGAAAATCTTACAATAAAGGAATAATTCTTACAAAAAAAAAAAAGTTAAATCTTCAGGCTCAGTGTTCTGAGAGAAAAGACAATAAGGGAGAAATCCATTGCCATAGGCCTACGACCCCCACACCTAACCCGAGAGCAAGAAAAACAAAAGGCTGAGCAGAAAGGTACCTCCAGAAAGAAACATTATAGCACAAAACAATAAAATAATCCCTTTGCCAAAGGAGTAGGATTTTTGTAACTTCTCCACCCATAGGTCCCCCAAACCTTTCCTCTCACGGAAAAACGAGGCTTGTAAAGCCCAATTTTATGTGAAGTGTTAACTTCCACCACCACCCCCGCGCCAAAAAAAAAGGGAACTGAAAGTGAAACTATCCAGAGGAAGTTGCGCCGCAAGAAGATCACAGTCCCCAAAGGGAAGTAGACGACTACAGTTTCAGGACCACCTACCGCCCAATCCGCAAAATTGAGGCGAGAGCGCTCCTCCGACCTTGCAGCACGGCTGCAGGGGGTGGCAATGAAGCTAGCACCCGGCGCGGAAGGCGCCTCGATCACCCACAGCTGTCAGGTGCTGCGCCTCGGAGGGCACCCAGCAGCGGGGTGAGGCGACTTATTCCAGCCTTAGCTGGCCATCCGGAAGCATTTCCTGAGCTTCAGGCACTGTGATGCGGACACCAAGATAGGACATTGTGTGTGCACGCTCAGGCCAGAAGGGCCCAGAGAGAGAACTGGCTAAGTCTGGACACAAAGGGGGGGAAAAACAATCCCCGAAAGAAGCCGGGCGCCTGGAGCTCCCCCAGAACGCGACGTCGCCTCTCAGGCCACCCGCCAGTCCTGCGCGCGAGCCCAGTCCCAGGCTCAGGGACCCGCCAGCTCGCCGCGCGCAGTGAAGGCAGGGGCGGGGGGACGCGAGGGTCTGGGTCGCAGGAGCAAGGGGCGCGGTGGCTCGGAACGCAGGAGGCGGGGTACGGGGCCCTGGGTCGCAGAAGACAGGAATCGGGGGACGCGGTGGCTAGCAGAGGGCAGGGACACTGGGACCCCGTCAGCCCAGCAGTCACGGGCCGCGCAGGGAGAGCTTAGGGGTGCGTTCGGCCCACAAAGGGGGCCCGAGATAAAGAACCTGGTTCGGCCCCCTCCCTCAAAACAAAGGCGTCTTCTCAGCCCTCCTAGACCACAAAACCACGGCTGGCCACCTTGCCAGCCCTCCCGCCCTAGTCTCCAGACCCCCGGCCGGCCCCACACTTACTGGCCTCGGTTGCTTCAGTCGCCGATCTCCCCCGACAGTGTATTAGCTCTCCGGACCCGGGTCTCTCCATCGGCAGCTGCTCATGCGCACTGCCTGCCCACTGCCATGTTAGTGAGGGGCGGAAGTTCTCCCACACTCGCCCCGCCTACTGGCGTTTGTACCGCCCACTTCCGCTCGCGACATCTTGTTGCGGACTGAAAGGTGCCGACGTAGTAGTGGTTCGCTGTCTCACGGAAGAATGACTCTGAGTGACTGGAGAAGGACGTCAGGAACGGGAAGAAAACGTGTGCTACGGCACAGGGTCTTTTTAGTTCCAGGAGAAGAGGAAGAGAGCCCCACTTCCTTCAAGTGAGAGACTGAGGCAGAAGGCGCCATCTTTAACAAGGGCTTGTGGAAGCCATCTTGGATCAGAACACCTTTTGGAGAGCCTTACACTGGAGGAGAGCGCTTATCTGCGCATCTACGGATCTAGATATACCTCTTTGTGTTAATATCAGCAGTCACTAACCAAAATACCTTAAAAGCTACCAATTTTTGTGAGAGGGACCTTGATTTCATTCTTAGGGTCTACCTTTAATGGATTTGGAGGAATGAAGTGTAATAGAATTGATCCGTTAGGGCCAGACAAACCCAGGTTGCAATGTTATTCCTCCCACGTCTTAACCTAACCTCTTTGGCACGTCTTTTAACTTAGCCTTACTTTTCTCATCTGTAAAGTGGACATACTAGTATCAGGGGTGCATTAAATAAAAACAAAGATTATGTGCACACAGACTATTTTATTCAGCCTTCATTGGCACCTAGTGAGCATTACGTAAAGTAAGTTTCTCTTCCCTACTCGCTAACCACCATGAATCCAGCTCCAGTTTCTAGCCATGTCTCCATGACATCAACTGACGAAAGCAGCCAAACAACAACAACAAAGAAACAATGTTTGGTTAAACAAATAATACAACTAAAGGCTTCAGTAAGAATGAGACTCCACACTGCTAACATGTAAAAATACATCCTTTATTCTGAAACATTTTAACTGGCTAGTATGTGACTCCAACCTGGAAACTAGATGCTAGGGCCTGAGTGACACCATTCCCTTTCCCCAAAATAGGAAGAAGTGCTAAAGGGAAATGGAGAGGCCAGACAGAGTTGAATAAGGACTTTCCTTCTTCAAGGTGATTGAAGGCAGAGGGAACATAAGTGGAAAGGAGGTCAGTCTTTCCAACAAACACTGAAGGCTTCACAGAGCTTCCTGGAAAATTTCTTCCTAATCTGGTGTTAATAAGGTCAGGAAGTATCCAGGGTTCCAGGGGACAGAAAAAGAATGGACAACTCTAGAGTCTGTGCCTTCCCTGCCTCCACCTAGAGTTTCCATGAAAAGAAATTCACAGCATCAGAAGAGGATGGGATCTTAGCTGGAGTTCCCCCTTCATTCTTCACTTTGAGAAACCTCTACCTACTCTCTGTACCCTTCGGCCAATGACCTCTCTCTCTCTGGTCATTGGTCATTGGTGGCTTCGTTAAACAACTCCTCAAGAATAAGTGCTTTGTGTCTGAGACAAACTCAGGTAAACCAGTGAGTGCAGTGCCTCCCACAGTCCAAAAGAGAAGCTGCAGAACCAAAGTCGAGAATGTTGGCTACTACAGCTTCTCAAACTGGTGCTAAGCAACAGTCTAGCACCCCAGAGATTCAAGCCGACTTTCTGTCCCCTTTACCCAGTACTTTGGTCCTAATCACAGTCCCTCACCTTTTCCAGGGGTATCCTGTGTTTCAATTGTACATGATTGGAACAGTGAGAGCATAATGGGCTCAGGGGGCAGGAGTTCTCTGGGGGGAAGACTAAGACGACACTGGGGTCCACTCCCTTCTTTGCCTTCAGATGGCTGGTCCAGGCAGCTAAGGGGCCGAGGAGAATGGGCAGGGACAGTGCTGCAGGGGGAGATTCTGGGGAGGAGGCTGTAGTCCCCACCCCCTGTACAAGTCTGGGTCCGTCGTACTCCCTGAGCCTCAGTCTTCTGGCGTTCCCGAGCTAAGGCCACAGCAGCATCAAAGGAAAGACTGCCCCCATTCCTCCAAGAGGAGTGAGAGGTTCGGGACCCCAAAGCCCTTTCACCAGGAGTCCCATCAAGTCGACCAGGTCTTGGGCTTTGCTTTGCAGGTGCCACATGGATCTTGCTACACATTGTACTGGGCATCTTGGCAAACTGTGGTTTAGGGGGCACCACAGGCACAGAACGGACCTGTTGGACCTGGACCAGGGTGGAAGCCAAGCGCATGCCCACACCACCAGCTGAACCAAAGGAACAGGGGCACAGATGGCAGACTTCTGAGCTGGTCTGCACCGCGGGCTCCATTTCCTCTGGCTGGGGTGGTTCTGGGGCTGCCTGTTCCATCTCACAGGACTGGGAATTGTCCTCTTTGGCATTGTCAACCTGCAGGGACACTACGCGCAAACTTCCAGGAAGGGACCCCTCTTCTAAATGGTTATCTCCAGCACTCTGGTCTCCCTCAGCCTCTCTACTCCCACTCTCCCAGCCCTTGCTGACCTCCTCTTCTTCAGCTGCTGACTTTGCCCTTCTGCCATCTTCATCCTGTTGATCTCCTCTTACCTCTTGGTCTCCATTCTTCCTCTGTCCTTTGACCTCATCTCCTGTGCCTCCCTCAGCCTTTTCTTTCTGTACAACTTCCCAGCTTCTCTGGCTTTGGCTTTCCTGGGCCGTGGGCTCTGGGTCTCTCGCAGCTTCTACCTGGACCTCCTCTCTTTCTTCAGTCACTTTTTCTCTCTCTCTCTTTCTTTCCTTCTTATCTTTACCCTGCCTGCCTCCAGTGTCCTCCACATGCTTAGTTGTCTCCTTTTTCTCATCCTCCTGCTCACCTTTGGACTTCTCCCTCTTAGACTCTGTCTCTTCCCCACTATCTTCTTTCAAACTAACCAGCATCTGTTGACTTCCCTTTGTCTCCCCTCCTTCCTCATCAGCCTCTCTAACTTCTACCTCACTCTCTGCACATCCCTCAGCTTCCTTTCTGATGTCCCATCTTCTTCCAGGATCAGCCTCCTTGTTCTCCCCAGCTCCCCAGCCTCCCTCCCCACATCCAGCCACCTTTTCCTCCAGATATCCTGGACCCTCCTGGCTTGGGGGTTTGGGCCCCAGAAGGGGACTCAGCTCATCAAAGGCACTCAAAAAGATTTCCTCCCCACTTTCTTCCCCTGCCTCAGGTCTGGAGTCAGCAGAGTTTGGGCAACAGCAGCTTGGAGCCAGGACAAAGTGAGCCTCATCCAAAGACAGGTCATCCAGCGGGGGCTCCACAGAAAACTCCTCCACCTGGAGGCACAGTACAGTGGCTCAGCACCAGTGGTCCCGACCACCCTCCGGCTTCCTCGCCACCCCCAAGCCCAGCACAATTCCTCCTTACCTGAGGCCCAACTCCCAGGAGCTCCTCCAGGTAGCCCATCCCAGAGTCATCCTCCCCAGGGGAGAAGGCTGCTCCTGTTGCTCCTGCCTTGACCATGTTCCCATCCTCCACCCCCACACACTCTGGCTCTGAACTGCTTGAGTCCTCGAGGAAGGAGAAGCTATCCTGCACCTCCTGGGACAGACAGTCCTCCAAAGCAGGGATCATGTCCATTGGGCCTGAGGCATCCAGGTGACCTGGGACTGGTCTGGACTCTGACTTCTCATCTGTTGGGAGAGAGAGAGTTCCAAGAATACAAAGGTCAAGACCAGCCCTGGCTCATTCCTTTGTGGACCTTCCTATCTTCGCTAGAGTGTGGGTCAACACTCCCAACATAGAAATTCCATGTGGCTGACCACTCAGGCCAAATGTCCTAGCAGATGGCTTATGACTGCTCTCACTGACCTTTTTCCAGGTGTCGTACGCCATATGATACATTTTGTGCTGCACTGTCCTACTTTCCTCACAACAGTCCTATAGTTTATCCCCATTTTCCATGTGACAGAACACAGAGAGCATAAAGAGTCTACCCAAGGTCACAAGCAGGTGGCACAGTCAAAATTTGAACCCAGGTCTACTTAATTCTATAGCCCATCTCCTTACCCACCACCCTCTGTTGCCGCCGTCTTCTCATCCATGACACTTCTGGATCTGGAGTGAGAGCAAAATCAGTCCCCCACTTTCCCACCTCCCGCCTAAGTCAACAGTAAATTATTTCATCTAAATCTCAAGTTCTACTGTGAATAATACTTGTGTCTTATGGCTATGGGAAAATAAGCTAATGCCTGCAGAGTCCTTAATATAAAACATAATAAGTTCCCTGTAAATGTTAGCTGTTAATAGTAATGCTAGCCTCGTCATTCTCCTCTACTATCTATTCCCGCCAACTCTTAATAATCCCTGCTGTACATGTCTGACACAGACTCCCATTCTTGAGTATGTCAAATTCTGAAGTCTTCCAGAGATTCTCTCTCTATGTATTTCATGCAACCTGGTAGTACTGCGGATTCTCCCAACCTCAAATCCAAAAAAACAGCTGAAGGTAAACTACCCAAATTCAAAGGACTGAAGCTTCTGACCTTCCATGAAATAGTCCCCCAACATCTGGATTTTCAGCCTAAAGTTCTGGTCCCTCCTTCCAAACCTGGCAAATCCCAGAGGCCTTACCTGGAGGCCCAGGGCCAGGGCCAGGACCAGCAGCAGGGCTAGGCCGGGGCTGTAGAGCCGGACATTCAAGGCCTCGGGTAAGCCTGATCAAGGAGTTGTTAGAGATGATGTTTGGGGGCACGTTGAGGATGGAAGTGATGTGTAGAGGAAGGTTGACGTTGTAGGGTTCTGAGATGTGGACACCAGCACAGCGCTCCGCACGACTACTGCCTCCAGAGCAGATTGCCAGCCGGCCAGTTGGAGGGGTGCCTGGCTCAGAATTCATGCTGCTCAATCCCTCTGCCTCAGTCTCTTGTTCACCCTCTGTTGCCTCAACAGAATCCATCTCAAAGCTCTCAGGCAGCAGTGGAATTGGCCGGGGACTGTTGAGTTGTACTATACCCTCTGGCTCTGTGGAGTAGAAAGAGGCAGGCAGTGAGTCCAGATGCAAGGGACTAGGAGGCCTCCAAAGGCGCTGGAGAACAGTCCCTGCTGTCTCAAGGTGGAAAAGCAGGACAGCCTAGAAGGCTCCAGGTCAGCTTCCTTGACCACCACTGTCAACCCTCATTGGTCCACAAGGTCATCCCACTTAATATACGTAAGGAGTCCCCTTTCCTTCCTGCACATACAGTCATGGCCATCAGACCCCTCCCACACAAACACACACAGCCCACTGTCCCTCCACATACTTATATGGAGACACCCAGATTAGAGGACAAATGCATCTCTGGAAGCCTCACATCCGGCACTGTGGCTACAACCTAACAGGCACTCACTACAGCTTTTTTCAATTATTGAGCACATTTGGCACATGTAGAGACACAAACACACAGCAGGGACACCTACACTCACCATCAGTCACCCCGGCTGCAGCACTCAGGGAGTCCATGCTCTTGGCTGGCCGCAGTGTCCCCTTATCAGACTTGTCTTCTGCAAGACAGAGATGTGCCTAGAGCCAGGGCCTGGCCTGGAAAAGTAGTTCCTCCTACTTTCCCCCACACTTACCCCTATCCTCAGCCCCCCGAGGAAATTTGCGCTTGGTTTCATGGCCCGAGCGACCCAGATTGAAGATAGATCTCCACTTCCTGACCTTCAGAGACCCCTTCCTCCTGGAGGGAATGGAGAGATTGCTGAGGTGTCAGGGCCCAGGGATCCATACAGGGAAGGGGGCTCCAGATGGAGGCCTTACTTTTGGTCTGTAATCTCGATGATAGTATGGTAGGGTCGCATTTGTGGGGGACCATCACCAGCCTGCAGGATGCTCGGCAGGTTGTAAGGCAGGGACCTCGGCATAACGTCCTCGGGGTTGCCTGACGCACGGGCTCCTGAAAGTGACCGCCATCCGCTCTCCCCCTCACCACCTGGGAAAAGCAGAAGAGTTGGCCAGCCAGAGCAGTGACCAGAGAGCCCTCTGTACCTCGCTCTTCACTGTCCCCTCCCATTCACCAACAACTCTGCCAGGGATACCCAGAACCCAGGAGACACCCCTCCATGCCTGACTCTCTAAGAGGTTGTCTTCAGGGACAAAGGAGCCAGGAGACCCCTAGACTTTGACCTGGGGGGGTGAGGTAGGAATGACCAGGCACTAGGACACTAGCCTTGAGAGCCAGGTCAGGAATTGAGAGGTCAGTCTATGCGCTGGATGAAGAGTAGAAGAAGCCTGCTCAAGTCCCAGGTGCCCTATTGTCTCTCCAGTGTCTGCAAGTGTCCCTAAACAAGGCCCTCTATCAGGTCTCAGTTTTCTCATCTGCAAAATGGGGAGATGAACTGGAGGATATTTGGGGCCCTCAAAAACTCTGATATAGTTCTCCAGACAAACAGTGGTGAGGGGAGTGGGGGGGAAACAGGCACTAACCAGAGAGAGTAGCACCCCCAAAGAGCTGGTCCACGTGCGTGAGGATGAACTCGACCACGATGGATTGCACACGCACCTCCATGAAAGCTGCTGTCCCGTTGAAGCCTGAGGCCTCTATGTCCTTAGACCTGTCAAGATGTGGTTATTCCTCGCCACCCATCCCCACATTTCACTATCTGAATTCCTCCTAAAAATGCCGCATCCTCTCTCTCCTGTCTTAACCCAGTCTTTTCCTCTTACACCACATGATGATGCAAGACTCAAATGTCCCTTCCTCGAAGAAGATGTCCAAGAGTGGATTGGACATCCACCTCAAAATTCACATCTGCTTCACTCACTCTCAGACAAGGGGCTCAAGTGGGTGCGGTGCATCTCATTCATGTAATCTTCGCTGGGCTCAGTGTGACCCCAACTCCTCTCCAATGTACCCACAGTCACACCCCATCAGGTACATCCTCCAGGCTCTACAAGTATCTGACATACGGCCCACCAGATACCCACCTCAGCAGGTTGGGGGCCCACACGATGGCCAGGTTGCGGGCGTGCATGTTGGTCTGGGCGCTGAAGGAGGCCATGTGCACCAGGTGCCGCATGAGAAACTCCAGAGTCCTGCAGAAAGGGGACAGCATGGCTAGGTGGCACATGGGAACCCCTTGGGAAGGACTGGGGCCCGGGAGCCAGAAAGGAAGGGTCAAGTGAGGGCCCCAGGGTAGAGAGAGAATCTGGGCTGTGTGGGGGAGCCCACCTGTGATTTGGGGTAGGGAGTTCTTGCAGCACCTCTACGATCTTAACCAAACGCTCGGGCTCCAGCTGCACTGCCACAGCCTCCTGATTGGGGACAAGGTCCAAGGAGTAGGAGTCAGTAACCCAGCATGTCCTGTGCTCAGTCCCCGACCTCTGAGCCAGGCTCTCTGGAAGCGTCTGAGCTGTAGCCCGCCTGTCCCACAAGACGTGCCGATGAGTCTTGGTCAAGCCACTTAATAACTTTGTGACCTTAAGCTTTTGTCACTCTTTGCCTTAGCATCCTCATTGCAAACCTTCTGGAAGTGGAATGCATCTATCAGTGGCACATCTATCCATCCTGTGGGTGCCCCTGGGCTGGAGAGTTAGCCCAAGGGCTCCTAGAAAGTCTGTGCCCGCCCAGGCTCCTCCCCTGGTTACAAGGTGTGGGGCTGTTGCTTTGCAGCTCCAAATGCTGGGTGCTCAATACAACGTGTTTATTTTTAAAGTGTTACCCAATCCAGGATAGCATTTTTCTCATGTGTTTTCTTATTCAGCAGAAACCAGAGTTTTTCTAGGTGGCGCATCCTAGACAAAGTTTTGACTTCTAAGAAGGGCTCTCATTCGTTTTCATGAAGGAAGGGTTGGGCTAGGTGTTTTCCACGATCATCCTGCTCTGGTCACCTTGTCTCTGCTCTGCCCAAGCCTCAATCCCCTTACCCTGGGGTCTGCAGACCTTAGTGATAGGACATGGATCAGGGAGAAGGAAGAGGGGAAGTAACAAGTGGCTCAAGGAGAAGGTTTTTTTCCCCAGTAATATAGTATGCATCATTCAAGATCACTAGGATTCTGACACTGAACACACTTAGGGTGTGAAAACCAGAGCCTGTTCTTCCACCCCCTGCTTCTCAACTCACAGCGAACTTGTCATAGAGCCGGTAAGTGAGCAAGGGGTCCGGCAGTTCTCTGAAGTAGGCCTTGCACAGGGAGGACACGCAGTGTATGTCCTGCAGGTAAACGTCTTTCCGCAGGTCTGGTTTCCTTTCGGCTTCAAACTCCTGCCTGGAGAGTGCAGAGTAGTCCAGTGTAGTGCAGATTAGGAGATGTGTGGAGAGGTGGGGACTGTAGGGATGGCTCAGGCAGGGTGAATATGTGTGGCATGTGGACAGGAGACAGTTGGTGTTGGGGATTGTATATACATGAGGCAAGTGGAAGGCCTTGCACATGCTGACATGTGAGGCCATTGAGGGTATGTTCATGGATCGGTGCATAAATAGGAATACAGATCTGGGTTTGCTGGTGTCAGTGGATATGGGGTGTTGAGCCTAAATGCTTTTGGGGGTTAAATATAAAAATGAATGAATATAATTCTTAGAAAGCAACATAAGTATAACTCTTCATGACCTGGGATTAGGCAACAGTTTCTTAGATCTGACACCCAAAGTACTCGCAGTCACAGAAAAAATAAGATACATTGAACATCAAAATTACAAACTTTCCTGTGTCTAAGAAAGTGAAGACAACCCATTGACTGGGACAAAATATTTGCAAATTGTAGATATAGGAGCCTCCCTGGTGGTGCAAGGGGTTAAAGCGCAGCACTATGAAGCTATGGGAAGCCACTGCAGCTCATTTGATTCCTGGCCAGAGAGCTGACCCACATGGTGCAGCAGACCTCTCCTGACCACCCACTGCTCCCCTCTATTTCCCATTCTGGTGAGTCCTCTCACCCCCTGCACCTCAGGCTTATACCCCAGTTCTGGTATGCATAAATAAATGAATCTTTTCAAAAATTGTAGACATAATAAGGATCTAATATTCAGAATATATAAAGCACTCTTGCAACTCAAAAAAGAAAAAATAGCCCAACTTTAAAATGGGCAAAGTATTTGAACAAACATTTCACCAAAGAAGATCTACAATGGCCTATCAGCAAATAAGGAGATGTTCAATGTTATTAGTTGCTACGGTAATGCAGATAATCAAGAACACTTCATACCCAACAGGACAACTATAATTAAAAAGTCACACAGTAAATGTAAGCGAGGATATGGAGAAATTGGAACCTTCTTACATTGTTGGTGAGAATGTAAAGCAATTCTGTAGCTATGGAAACCAGTTTGGCAGTTCCTTAAAAAGTTCAATACGCAGTTACCATATGACTCAACAACGGCACTGTTAGGTAAAGTCTCAAGAGAACTGAAACCATGTATCCACACAAATACTTGGGTCTGAATGTTCAGAGTAGCATGTTCATCATAGTGAAAAGGTGGAAAAAACCCAAATAGCCATCAGCTGATAACTGGATAAACAAAATGTGGAGTAGCCATTCAACAGAATATTATCCAGCCACAAAAATGAAACGAAAGGACTCTCACATGCAGTAGCATCCATGAACTCTGAAAATACGTTTAAGTCAAAAGAGCTAAACATCAAAAGTTACAGTCATATGACTCCATTTACATGAACTGTCCAGGATTGGCAAATCCATGGAAACAGCAGATTAGGGAACAGAAAGGTGTGGGTGACTGCTCATGGGCCCAGGGTTTCTTTTGGGGTGATAAAATGTTCTGAAATGATCAAGTGATTGTGGTTGTACAATCTTGTGAATGTACTTTCTTAGTTTTTAATATATAAATAAAAATATTTAGCACATAAATTATTTATTGATAGCATAAAATTTTAAATAACCATATATAATTAATATATAAAAGAATAAATTAGGGCCCTCCCTGGTGGCGCAACAGGCTAAAGCACAGCCACTGCCCTGGCCAGGGAGCTGACCCACATGGTGCAGCAGACCGCTCCTCTCTCGCCTGCTGCTCCCCTCAGCAGTGTATTTCAGTTACATCTGCCTGTTCTGACCCCTACTTTGTCACTGGTGAATCCTCTTACCCTCTGTACCTCTGGCCTGAATCCCAGTTCTGTATGCATAAATCAATAAATAAATCTTTAAAAAAGCCAATATATCATATTAATTACAATATGTAGGCATTTTCCATAAATATATATATATAATGTGTAACCTTTCTTTTAATACATACATTTTAAATATAAAAATTGCTGAATCACATATTTTTGAATGGTGAATTTTATGGTAAGTGAATTATATCTGATTTTTTAAAAAGATGTATTTATTTATGCGTAACAGAACTGGGTACTGGCCAGAGGTGCCAGGGGTGAGAGGACTCACCAGAGACAGAGTGGGGAGCAGACAGAGCAGGCAGATTGACTGAAACACACTGCTCAGGGGAGCAGCTGGTGAGAAAGGAGAGGACTGCTGTGCCATGTGGGTCAGCTCCTTTGCCGGGGACCAAACTGGCCCTACAGTGACTGCTAACAGCTTCCTAGTGCTGAGACTTAATCCCTTGCACCACCAGGAAGGACCCCCCTGTGAGATTTTTAGAAATAAATGTGGTAAGACCTCTGACACATTTTGCCTCACACAATAAGAGCTGCCTATGGATGATTTCAGGTGGCATTTTAGGCCAGGGGATTGGTAAATTTTCAATAAATGTCCAGTGGATCATCTTACTTGACTTTGTAGGTCACGCAATCTCTGCGAGTTTGCATTTGTGATGTGACTGTTCCAGTGAGACCTCAGTAAGGGCCCTGACATGTGCATTTCATATAATAAGAGACTTAACTTTTGGGTTTTTTCCCAATCATTTAAAAGCATTAGCCAGTCTTAGATCCCAGGCTACACCACAACAGTGGATGAGGATTCACCAGAGACAGAGTGGGGAGCAGAACAGGCAGATCTACTGAAATACACTGCGGAGGGGAGCAGCGGGCAGGTCAGCAGAGGTCTGCTGTGCCATGTGGGTCAGCTCCCTGGCCAGGGATCAAACTTGTGCTGCAGTGGCTATAGAAACAATGTAACTTCATAGTGCTGAGACTTAACCCCTTGTGCCACCAGAGAAGCCTTATGTCTGGCTTTTTAAAGCTGGGTATGTGTATGTGGGAAAGGAGGAGTGTGTGTATGAGAATGTGTGAGAGATTATGAGAGTGTGGATGTGAGTGAATGGTGAGTGCACATGCACTAGCCTTGGGTGTGGGGGGCATGGTCTCTCCTTTCTGCAGAGACTGCTTTAGAGCAGCACCTCCCTTAGAGATAATACTCCTATCTCTGCTCCCCACATCCCATCCCTTCTTGCTCCCCAGCCTCCTGGCCCCACAGCCCTCCCCTCATTGCCACACTCACCGGAGCTTCTGGATGTTGGAGGAGACTCCTGAGAGGCGGTAGATCCCATCCACCACGCCATGCTCCTCCACAAAGTCTGCACAGCTCCTTAGCACCTGGGGCACTGGGAACAAAAGACAGAGAAGAAGTCAGAGTTCTGGGAAGAGCACACTCCAAGGAGCCTGAGAAACAGAAGCGTGGGGCTTGGCGCTGGGGAAGATTGACAGCAAAACTCATGAAATAAAACCTGGTCCAGAAGATTCTTGCAAGACATCAGCTCCAACTTGCCAATGCCTCTATAACATTCCTCCCCATGGGGCCTGGAGCCTCAGGAGAAGCATAATGTCCCCTCATGCCCCAGGGAGGGGGCCGCTGCCTCTCCAGGCTGCCCAGCCCTTTGTTAGAAAGTCCTGCCTTTGTTAAACTGAAATTTGTCTCTCTATAATTAACAGTTGCTACTCCAGCATTTTTATAGGGCAGCAATCTGGCTGGAAAGGGAGTCGGAGGAAAGAACTGGTCTAAGAAGTTTATTTACATAAGTCTGGTTAAAGGCAAATTGTGGGCGTGGGTGGAGACTGGGCACATGGTGGCTGGTGTGGTGTGATATATAGTTGCTGAGGTGAGAAACTGTGTCCATGAAACCTATACAGTGTTTTTACCTCAACAACAACAACAACAAAATAGAAAAAGGAACATTGATTCCTTGGGACAGTACCAATATTCCCTTCTGGCGAGAAGGTAGACAAAATCATAACAGACCTTCAGACAGGCCAGTTCAGAAAAGAAACCCCCAGAAACTTGAGAGTTCCTACTCCTGTTTTACATATAAGGAAATAGAGTGTTCAAGAAATCATGAGTACAGTGTCAACCAGACTTCAAATACAAGAGTGCAAAAACTGTTGTCTTAGCTCTTTCAACCCCTTGCCCATCCCTGCTCCTAGACTGAGCTCCTAAAAACAAGAGCTAAGTGTGCCCTGTCTCATAATCCTCATATTGGCATCTCAGACCTGGGAAACCTTTCAGAGCCCTCTCCACAAAGCCAGCTGACTCCAGAGTCATCTTTGCAAAGCACTTCCCTGCTTTGACTCCTTCCATAAGCACCTTGCTCCAACCCAGGCTCCATTGCCCAGTACAGATACCAAATAAAACAGAATCGTCTCAGCAGGGTATAGGAGTCCTTCCACTGCAGGTCCTGACCCCATGCTCCAGCCAGTCCCCCAGCAAAGCCTGTGACCCTGCCCTGTGCTCCTCAAGCCAGCCTTGGTACCTAGCTCATCTGTTGCCTAGAAATACTCCCCTCTCTGTCTCTGCCTGGTGAACTCCTATGCATTCCCCCAAACACACCTCAGACATCACCTCTGATTGTGAATCTTTTGTCCATATCTGTGTTGTCCTGCCACCGTCCTTGGCTTACATGAGAATTACGTACTTATTGCCTTTTGTTCTTAGTTTCTTATGTATCTGTATCTTGTGAGACATGGTAACATCCTCCCCAGCACTGCACCAAACAACAGGCGCTCAATGAACGCTTATTAAATGAAACGGTGAGGGATTCAATCAGTTGTGGGGATTGCTGGCACCTCTTGGTGTTGAATAGAGAATATTGCCTAGGACCAAGCACTGAGTCCCTCTAATTGAGAATCACCAGAGCAATTTCTGTCAGGTGTCAGTGGCAGAACAAAACTGTTTCTCCTATGCTGTCTCTTTTCTTTTTCTTAAGGCTTTCTGAGTCTTCTACCTGATTATGTTACCTTTCTAACCATGAGGAAGCTCAATGTCCATAGTGAGAAATGGTATGCATTTCTGGGTACTGATTTTACCCTGTTTTTCCCTTCAACCCACTTCATTCCTCATTCATTATAAAGTTTTGGGTTTTGTGAATTAAGGCAGATAGAAATGCATAAAGAGCCATCCATTAATAAATGTATCAGGCGCTATTTTAAACCCTTCTCACATGACCTGGTGCCCACACCTTTTGCCTTTCTGCACAGGCAGCTTCTAAAATCTAAGGAAGCTCTCTCTTTGGGCTGCACAAATGCCACCCGTACGTGTACACAATTTTGACAGTTAGGTTTCCTTTAACTTTACACTCTTGCGCCTCGCCTTAGTCCCAGCCTGACCCATCTCTTCAGGACTTGTCAGGGTGCCCCAATCCTGGTCCTCAGCACCAAATGCAGAGGTGGGGAAGACTCCACTGTCAATGCCTCATGCTGCCCCAGCTCTTTCAGCCACCACATTGGCCGTTGACTCATAAATAGCCTACCGTCAGCTACTCTCCAGTTCCCCCACAAGGACGGCTGGGTCTTCCCCTCCCATTTTACTCTTGATTTTCAGTCTTCAGAAGAGGCCCTAAATGAAGGCATTTGACAGTCTGGGGTATTACAGCCATCTGAGTTTTGTGAAATTAAGTCAGATGGAAATATATAAAGGCAGCATCCATTAATAAATGTATCAGCCACTGTTTTAAACCCTTCTCACATGACCTGGTGCCCACACCTTTTGCCCTTCAGACAGACACAGTTTGGGTGAGACAAAGAAGGCAGCTTGATTCAGGACCTATACTGTGATTCCTTGCCTGAGGCCAAGGAGGTGTGGCAAGATATCACAGGGTCAGAGAGGTAGAACTGGAAGTCAAAATCAAAACAGGGTTGGGGTGATAGAACCAAAAATAGAGATGTCAAGAGGATGGGTGGGCCACAGAGGTGGGCCTCAAGTTTAGGGACCTGGAGAATCAGAAACCCAAGCAGGGTATCAAAGAGATACAGAGAAGGAAACGGTTACACTCAACACATACAGGGTTTGGGGATGGAAGAGACCCCTCCAGGGCAAAGAGCTGGGATGGTGGTCTAGAGCAAGAATGTAAACATATGGGTATAAGCAAGGGTTAGTTGACAATGGGGTCAACTAACTGAGTCACAAATCCCCACTGGCCTGACTTTCATTCTTGCTGGGTGTTGGATTAAAAGGAGACTCCAGCAGCCACTCTGTCCTTTCATTCACTACTTCTGTGCCCTAAAGAGTTGGGGAATGTGAGAAGGGGGCCCTGTCCTCAGGTGCCCAAGATCTGCTCCCACTTGGACTCAGATGAGGTGTTGTGGGGGCAGGATGTGTTTCCCTCTCCCTCTGGCTTCACTAAAGTCAGGACCCAGCAACCAGGGGCCCACCTCAAAAAGAAAACATGCCCCTTTGCTGCAGAAATGCAGACAGAAGACAGGCGGTCTTCTGGGGTAGAGTCTGCCTGGCTGTGACGTCAGGGTTTCAACATGGCCGAGGGGCCACAGGGGAGGGGGGCCGTGATGAGGAGACTGAATGGAGGGTTTGGGAGAGCACCAACCCCAATGAAACCATGTGACTCTCAACCAAGATCACCATTCTTCAGAGGAATTCCTTGAAGAAGGCTCCACCCGGTTAGGAGAGAGGCATAAAGAAGTTTCAGCTGTTTGACACTCTTGGAGTCTGGGCTTTCCCTTAACCAAGGCCAATGAAGACGGGGGGCCCCTTGAGGAAGAAAAAAGGGAAGGAGGTTTCTGGGGACACAAGGTGGAGCTAAGCGCAGGAAATGAGCTGGGAACCACCAGCATCCTCCCTACTTAGACCTTGAACGAAGAAGAGAAGAGGAAATGACAGATTGGGGTGGGGGGTGGGGTGATTATGTCTGTGTATCGGAGGAGCTCAAAAGTGCCAAAAACAAGCTGGACTGGGCAACCTGTGTTCAAGTTCAGTTCAAATCATGAACTTTTTTTATGACTACTCCAGGTAAGGCTCAGTAGGGAGCCTGGTCATTGTCCTTGGACTGACTTCCAGGCTCCCCCCCTCCCTAATCTCCCCAAAGCAACTCAGATGAGGCTGGGTGCGTTCAGCAGACAGCCCCACACCTGCCTTCCTTTGTGCCCCCACCCATCTTCAAATCGATGACTCTTTGGCGTTCCCCATTTCAGTAGCTTCAACCCTCGCCCTCAGCTTTGAATTGGTTTCTCTTTTGGGTGAAAAGGGGATCAAGGAATCACAGCGGGAGAAGGCTTCTCCTACTCCACATCTAGCCAGTGGCTGTGTGAGAACCCTTTAACTTTGTCCCTGGGTGCTCTCCTCCAGCCAGAAACACCATCCTCCCCAAGGACCTTCCTCAGGCTCTCCGGGGTTCCTTCATTCAGATCCAAGGATGGACACAGCCCCTCCGCCACCAGTCTCCTGGCCCTGGCCCAAACCTCCTTCTCCTGACCCAATAGCATCCCTGCATTCTGCTTCCCCTGCATCTCCTGGGTCTCCAGTCTCTGTCCTCTCCTGAGATCCCCAAGAGTGTTTCTGACACTCCTGAATCTCCCACCCCAGCAGTTGCTGAAGGGAGCCACCCTGTCTTCTGCACCGAGCCTTATTTCCTGCCTTCCTCATCAACCTCGGAGGCGGTGAACCCAAGCACTACCTCTGCCCCAGGAACATCAGAAGCCACGTCTGTCCTTGAACTAGGTGGGGCTGGGAACGCTCTGCACCTCCCCACCCCACCCGCCAACACCTCTGGGGTGGCTCCTTACCCTCCTGGCCGGAGTGCTGCAGGTGCTCCTGCAGGTCACACCCAAACACCCGTTCCTTCGAACTGCCCTTCTTCTTTCCTTTCTGCCGAGACTTCATGGCCGGAGCCCCAGGGCTCAGGCCCAGCCACCTCCGTCCCCCAAGACCTTTCACCTACCAGTCCCCCATGAAAGCCCAGCCTCTGGGCTTGGCCCAGCCCCAGGGGGGCAGGGCTCTTAACTGGAGGTGGAGGGTGGCCTGGGCAACGGGCAGCAACTCTGGCCTCTGGGGCCCTGGTCACACGGAAGTGGCTGTGGAAGAGGAAGCTGCCAGGACCCAGGCAAGAAGCGGTCTCGTGGCCTGTCCCGGCTTGGTACTCGCCCTTCCCCGTTGCTGTGAAGGGGGGCAAGGGGACAGGAAGCTATGCAACTCCTCCAACCCACTTCCTGTTAGCGCATCTTTGAAACCACAGGGTGTGGGGTGGGGGGAGGTGGCTGACATGCAGACCTCCCCATGGCAAGGTGCGCTTATTGGTCAAGGCGAGGGACGTCAGAGCCCTCGCTGGGTGGAGAGCTGCTGCCTGGGGAGAGCAGGTGGCTGACACCCTGGAAGAACAGAACTTGGGTCCAAGCTGACGACCAGAGACTGGCCCGGGCGTGGAGCGTCATTGGGCCAAGCCAGCCACACGGGGAGGGAGGCCGCCCAGGCGGGCCTTGCTTCAGCCGAGTCTGTTCCTTCACTGAGCTGTGTGTATGAAAATGAAGGCAGCGAAATAGATGGTCTCGAATCCTCAACTCTCGCGTTCTGTGGAACCCAGCTGGCTTTCGTTTTTCTTTAAAACGCAGGTACTGCTGTGTCCCTCCTGGGTCTGTGGGAGCAGATGAAGGTTGGCCACCATGCAAATGGAGGTCCTGGCTGTCCTGGAAGGGGCTCATGGCTCCTCTCTCCTACCTGAAGGTCTCATGCAGGCCATGGTTTCCCCCATTCTCTCCCAATCCTTGGTACCCTAACTGCTCCCAACTTGGGCACCAATATTGTTAAGACAGGAGTCCAGGGATTCAGGGCTCACACAGTTCAGGGGCAAGATAGGAAACTGGCAGAAGAGGTTTTATCTGTTTATTTAAAAACAGAATATCATTTTATGTACAAATATGCACAAATTTACACAAAATGTACACACCAGTACCCAGGATCTTCAGGCTACCCCTCCAAAGCCCTGGGCTGGCCAGGGATCCAAGAATGGGAGTCTCTTCTTTGGTCTAAAAATGCAGCAGTTTCAGGCCAACTAAGATTTGGACACTAAACCTAGGAATTCTGATGGAGTATATTTGGGTGGGCTAGGCAAAAATGGACCTTCTCAAATGCCAGCCTCACCCAGAGAAACTGCCAGAAGAGCCTGAGTTAGTGACCCAGAACCCCTGCAGCAAAGGAGACGTTCTTGCCCCCAACAGCTCCTTCCCCTCCATGAACTCCCACTCTTTCGATGTCTGTAATCACTTCTCTCTCCCTACACCACAATGGAACCGGGACCCCTGACACCCAGTTCCAGCAACTCCCAAGGGATTACAAACAATGGTGAATACCACAAAGTAAAGAGATGAGTTCAGGGGGAGTGTTGAGGAACAGGATGGTCAAGGATTCAACCTACTGTCCCTTAGCCAACAACCAGGCTCACACCCTTAGTTCTGATCCACCCAACTTCTGGATCCCTCCGAAGAGGCTGCCTAGATTAAGAAGCCTTAGAACAGCATCTTTCTCAACCAGGAATCAAGCCCCTGGGTGGGATCTAAGCAAGATCTGGCTGTGCCCAAGTCCTGTGTCAGCTGGACTTTCAGCACTCCAGATAAATCACAAGGTATTTTTTTGTAAGGTTTTTCTCTCTCTTATTAAAGGATTCGGAGCAGTATATCTTAAAGAGCTCCCCTGTGGAGGTTTATTTACAGAAAATATGTACATGGAGCAGGTCCCAAGGCCACCAGAGGGCAGAGGGTTTCTTCTGTAACAGTTCCAGCCTCTGGCAGAACCCTTAGGGATGCTTCACACTCACCCCAACGCCCCTGGGTGGTGGGAGCCCTGCTCCCACTCAGGAGGCCAGATTCCAGCTCCAGCTCTGCCCGCAACCTGGGTCTGGCCAAAGTCTCCACCTCTCTCCTCCAACCTCTGCATCATTAATACTGCTCTGGGGTCTGAGGAAAACACCTGCGTTTCAGGCAGAGGTCACACAGCCACACCACACACGCTGGGCCGCACCACACACAAACCAGTCCCACGTTGCTCCCCAGCCACCAGCATCAGATGGCACACGCGCAGTTCACTGGACTCTGACACCACACTCACCACGGCACACTCACCTCTCCACACACACACACACACACACAGCCAGTGACACTCACACACCACAGACATACGCAGTGACCTGCACTCACACGGGAGGGACTCGGCCAGGGAGCCCTCCCACTGCCGAACAGAAGGGTTGGAGGAGAAGGTCAAGCAGTCACTGGGGGTGGGGAGCAGCTTCCTCAAGCAATGGGACGTTTAGGGAGGGTCCCCTCCTCCCCAAGGTGAGCGGAAATCCATAACATCAGCAGAAGGAGCCAGGGAGGGAGGCAGGCCTGGGTCAGACCAGGTGCCCGCGCCCGTTGATGTAGATGCCATTGCCCGTGGGCTTGGCCCGAAGGGTCCCATTCTCCTGAACAAAATGATTCATGGCCTGCTTGATGCCTTCATCCCGGTCTTCCTCTTCATCTGCCCGCCCAGAGCCTGGAGACAGCAGCTCTGTCTGCGTTTCAATCTCCCGCACGGTGGTCAACGTGGAGTAGCTGCGACCCTCTGGCTCTTCACTCTGGAGACCAAGGGTAGAGGACAGGTCAGGATCCAGGCGCGGGGTGTCCTGGTCTGATGGGGCCATTGGGGCACGAGGGGTGAGAGGTTTAGGCCCAGTAGGGGTCATGGTTGTTTCAGAGGTACAGAGTTCAGAGACCAGGGGCCAGGAGTGTTAGGCAGGGCAAGGGGAGATGGGAGGACCATGGCATAGCAGAGGTGTGGGGCTGGGCAGTGCAAGCCAGGGTTATGATGAAAAGGACAGGTCACGGGGCTGTAGTCCCACATCTGGGACCAGGAGAGGGATCTAAGGAGACTTGTGGGGACACCGGTGGGGCCGGGGGCCTCACCATCACAGAGCAGCTACTGTTGTCCTTGAGACTATCAGGGTGGCCCTCGGCTCTCAGCCCTACACTCTCCTCCGGCTGTAGGGCCCGGACATGGGGAGGAGTTAGAACAGGGCTCAGCCTCCTCTCCTCAGCCCCCTCACCTCTGTCTTCCACCTGCTTCCTCCCAAACGACCATCCCCCCTCCAACCCGACACGTTCATTCTCTCCTTGGCACAAACGTCATCATAACCACCCCCCCATAACCCCACACTGGAACCAGTACTGATGGTGGCTTCCCAGAGCAGTCCCCAGCGTTGGGGTGGGGCGAACCCCAGAAGACCCATGCAGCTCTGCATCCCCAACTCCACCCCCACCCAACCCCAGCTATGAGTCAGCGCCAGACTTGGGGGGGGGGCTGTGCTCCCAGTTTGCAGTGGGGCCCCAACCCATGAAGGCATCCAGCCTTGGCACACACCTGGCTCCTGGGGTCTGAGTGATGGGAGTGCAGTCTCCGGATAGAGTTTTCCCTGGTTAGGGTCAGCTCCTCCTCACTGGAAAGACATGCCCTTGTCAGGAGCTGAGTGCAGTGGTAGCCTCCCCAGGGGAGACTTACCTGGCCAGCACATGAGCCTGAGCAAAGTTGGGGTTTGTGCACACACGCGCGGGCACTTGGTGGTACCTGATCTGGACCCCCCACCCTCGGGCAGTTGGTTAGCCTCACCTCCTAGGGAGCAGGCGCTAAGCACCTTCTCGCCTCCCCCAAGACTTCTCCCCAGTTAGGTCCAGAAGTCCCCCAGAGGTCACTCCCCTTGGTGCCAGCCCACCCCCCGCTTGCCTCCTCTTCTGCCCAGAGTTGCATGTGGGGTGCCACATGCAATGGCATCCCCAGTGGCAGGACTTACTATTTCTGGGTCATCTGCTGGGCCTTGCGCCGATGGTATCGAGACATGAGCACAATCACCACCACCAGGAGGCAGAACAGGAGTGCGGCGATGACGCCCACCACCACCACAGAGGCCGACACCAGGTCCAACTGCTTCCCGTGGGAATCCTGAGGATCTGCGGGAGACAGCACTGTTGGAGGCTCTGCGCTCACCCACCACAGAAGCCACGGCCCCCCACTCGCCCACTGGCCTCAGCATCCCTCCCAAGCCACACCCTCTGACCCTCTGCAAAGGACACAGGCCCAGCCCCCTCTGAACAAATGCTTTCCCGGTTCACGGTCCCTGTCCTGCTCCCCCACCAGACCCTTGCCCCCGCTCCCACCCCCACCCCTTCTTTACCCCCAGCGCTTACCAACAACATCCACAGTGACCCGAGAATCTCTAGAGGAGAGCGCATTGCTGACGTGGCAGACATAGGTGCCGCTGTGCTCTGTGGTCAGTGGGGGAAAGCCCAGGGTGTCCCCTTCTGCTCGAACCCCACTGGGCAGAGGCCCGTCCAGCCTGGAGGACAGGGAAGCTGCTGGGTGCTGGCTGAGGCAGGCTGAGGCTGCCACCACCCAACGTGCCCAGACAGCTCTCTATCCCCCTCCCAATGACGTCACCCATTGCCACCGGCTGTTCCCACGGTGCCCCTCCCTCCCCCAGGCAGGTCTGGGCAGGGGCCCTTTCTCCAGGCTGCCCAGCCTGACCCGGGCACCCCCCACACACATTCAGGGAAGCTCCACATGCGTGCCATCCCACATGCAGCTCGTCATCCTGTACTGGGTACCAGGTAGACATATAAAACGCACAGTCTGGACACTCCATCCCTAGCAGGACTCAGATGGACTTGGAAAACGCAACCACAGCCCTGGCACCCTTGACACATGGCTGGCACAGGAACGCGGCCCAGGCAGAGGCCGCACGCACAGCACAGCACTCACATGGGAGAACATGGCTTTCGGGGGGCCACACACATGTGCACCTGCACCCGCTCTGATTCTCCCAGCACCTCAGGCCCTGGGAAAAGCTGAGGTCTCCTGGAGGCCACTGGTGGAGGTGAACAGGTTCCTATGAGGTGCTGGCAGCACTGTGGCGGTTTTAGGGTGTTGGTTTAACAACTGTGACAGCCAACTCACTCTTTTTGTCTTATCCACATTAAGCATCAATCTTTAAATACTGTGCTATAGTTTCTAATTTAAAAGGTAGTGGGAAAAGCCAAAGATTTATTAGCTGACTCCCTACCAATGACCACATCGTCTAGACTTGCTGATACAAGCCAATAATAATATTTGGTGACCATGCACATTCTTATGTGGGTCTGAACACGTGACCTGATTTATTTAAGGTTCAGAGTATATTGTCCCAGTCCATAACGAGTACATGCTGGCATGGGAGAGAAGAAGCCCGGTTCCAAGCTCTGTCTCCCCAGGCCAAGCCCTCACCGTGTCCAGTTGTATGTGGGCGGGGGCTGTCCTTCACTCAGGCACTTGAGCGTGGCTCCTTCTCTGCCCACCTGCCACTGCTTTTGGTCCTCAAGTCCCCTCACGGAGGCCTCAGCAAGGACTGGAAGAAGGTGGGAAGAGAAAGAATGGAAAGAGTGCCTTTGATCCCGCTTTTCTCAAAGGCCCCCACCCCACGCCCTGCCCTGCCAAAAACAGCCCCTCCCTTTTGCTCCCGCTGCCAAACCTGGCCTAGCCCCACAGTGCTCAGGCCCGCTCCCGTCTTGAGCTCCGAGAGTCCACATGGGTTTGCCCATGCAGTAGGCTTGAGTGTCCCCCGGCAGAGCCACGCATCGTACATTTTCTGAGCCCCCCGTGACCCCTAGCATAGCACTAGTCGTAGGAACATGGTAAAGAGCCCCGATTTTCCGAGGCTTAGCAACTTTACTAGTTGATTCATCTCTTTAACACACGTGGGTTGAAGACCTATGTTGCGCCCAATGCTGGGCATTTGGTGCCAACCCCGAGGTTCGTCTATGCTGGGAAGACAGAGTCTCCGGTTCACGAGCACCGTCTGTGGACAAAGCCTGGTGCAACATGCCCTCATTCGTGGTTCCTAATTCCCATCAGAACCCTGTAAAGTTGGTGTAATTATACTCATTCTGTTGATGAAGAAAATGAAGCCTCTGTCAAGACTGAGTAACACCAGTAACAAGCAGAACTAGAGTTTGACCCATGTCTGTCTTCAAATCCTAAACTGCATTTTACAAAGTGCTTACAATTCCATGCTTATATTTGAGTCTCCCAATAACTACATGGAACAGCACAGATTCCTTTATGAAGAGGACACTGAGGGTCAGAGGAGTCTAAGTGATTTGCCAAAGTCACGTGGGATGGGCTTCAGGTCTTTAACCTTGGGACTGTGTGGCCCCCGGGACCCAGGCTGGCCAGACTGCTGTGGTTCAGGGCCTCGGGGCTCCGGGTACCTTACCCATCCTCTTGGAGACCGTAAGGATCCTTCGCCAGGATCCAAGTACTCACAGGCCACATGGAGGATGTGGGTGATCCTTTGGTCCTGGAGCAGGCCAGGATGGGACACCACGCAGGTAAGAGGCTGCCTGTTCATGCTGCGACTGGGCACCAGGTGGAACTCTGAAGTGACAGCTGCTGAGCGGGAGTGCTTGAAGGAACGACTGGACGTCGTGCCCTTGACCTCCGTGTCCCAAGTCACGCTGGGGGCCGGGCTGCCCTCTGCTGTGCAGGAGGCTGCCAGAGTCAGGCCCTGGCCCTCTTCTAGCGCTGGACCAGGGTTCAGTGAGGGAAGGGGAGGCACTGCGGAGGGGAGGGATGCTGGGGGTCACCATCCGCACAATAAAATCAAGGTCCCCACCCCAGCCCCATTCACCCTCGCAGGGGTGCAAAGCCTCAGGCCTCCCTTTCTTATTTCACCACAAGGACACCAGAGTAGCAGAATTGCAGCTGACTTGGTGTCTTTCTCCACTGTTTGAATATTTTAGAATGAGCATGGATCATTTATTTTTTAATAATATAATAGTTTATTTTTACATCATTTTGTGCATGGGTCATTTTTAAATAAAGATAATGAAGTAATTAAAAAACCTAACCAGATAACATCTATGTAATAATAATAATAGCCACTGTTTATTAAGCACTTACTATGTTAAGCACTTAAAGTGTTATGCGAAACACTTTACAAACTTTGAATCCTGGCAACACACCAATGAGGTAGCATTGTGACCCCCACTGTACAGGTGGGGAGACAGAAGTTCAGGGAGGTTCAACGATTTGTTCCCCATCTTCGGTTGTAAGTGACGGAGCCTGGATTCACATTCAGGTTTTCTCATTCCAAGGCTGGTGTTACTAACTTCCATGTAGATAAAGGGAAACTATAACAAGAACTTTGTTTTTATCTTTGTAACATTAATAGCCCACGTGCAGACTGGAAAAGACTGAAATTGACCACAGGTCTGGGGAATCCATGGACTGAGTGACCACAATGTCCAGTGGTGGTTTAGAAGGTGATTGTGGACCACCGTCACTAACAGTCCAGCTCAAAGCAAGGATGAGCCCCACTGTTATAGGGTCACACTGGCCACAGCAGGTCTGCATGTCCACATCTAGATCCCTGTTTTATTTATTTTTAATTTCTTAAAGATTTATTTTATCTATTTATGCATCCAAGAACTGGGGTGTAGGCCAGAGGTGCAAGAGTTGGGTGAGAAGATATACCAGAGACAGAGTGGGGGGCAGAATAGGCAGATTCACTGAAATACCCTGCTGAGGGGAGCAGTGGCAGTGACAAGAGAGGCCTGCTGTGCCATGTGGGTCATCTCCCTGGTCGGGGATTGAACTCAGGCCACAGTGGCTGGCCATAGCTTTGTAGTGCTGAAGCTTAACCCCTGCACTACCAGGGAGATCCAAGATCCCTGTTTTAAACTCTCAAAGCAAAGGAGGTTTTGAATGAGTGTCTTTAGCGGAGCTGTTGCAGAAATAGGAGGTTTAACTTGGAGAAGAGTCAGTTTGGGTGGGGTGTGACAAAGGACCTCAGTTCTTCGAAAGGCTATCATGCAGGAGTAAATAAGCCTGTGCCATATTCCTACAGCAGGAAAGCAACAGAGGGGGGAGATTCCAGGTCAATAGGAGGAGAGGAAGAGCTTCCTAGGATGCTCATTCTCCTAACAATTGTAGCGTCAAACTGTTCCAGTCACTCAGAGAATTTCCAGATTGGGTAGAAGATGGGCTGGATAAGGCTCCCAACTTCCCACAGGACCCCAACTCTGCTCCTCATCCATTTTTGTCTCCCAATAAGGTCCAGTGTCCCAGCCCATACAGCAGCCGCCCCCAGACTGCCCACGTGGGACTCCACTTACCCAGAACGCGCAGCCGCAGCCGTGCCTGGAAGCTGCCTGCAGGGAAGGTGCTGACGCGGCACTCATACTCGCCCTCATCCGCCTGCACGGCGTTGCGCAGCAGCACCGCTCCATCCAGCGGGCTCCGTGGGGGCGCCGGCTGCTCCACGCGACCCTCGTAGGCCTCACTCACATGCAGCCCATATTTGGAGTGTAGCAGTGCCAGCTCCCGGACGCCCTCACTCGCATCCACTCGCGCCCACGCCACCTGGCCCACCTGCTCGCCCGGGTCCCCTCGGTAGAAGCAGGGCAGCTTGGCGTCCTGGCCCAGCACCACGGTCACTACGTCTGAGGTCTCCAGCTCGCCTGCGCGGCACCGGCCTGCAAGGGTCAGACAGGAACAGCCAGGGTGAGGGGTGCAGCCTGAGCTGGGGATGCTTATTCATGGGGTAATGACGGAAGGCAGCCGGAACTTGGAGCATTTTGTGCTTGCAAAGCGCGTTAAGTGCGTTTAGTCCATTACCTCATTCGGCCCACAAAACATTCCCAAAAGGTGGGCGTTATTATGCCATTTAACAGATGAGGAAACTGAGACCCAGAGAGAGGAAGTGCTTGCCTAAGGCCACACAGAGGAGAGAGGGAAAGGGCACACCCTCTTCCAGCCCAGGCTGGCATCCAGAATTGGAGGGTGGGAGGCTGGGCCCAGACGAGGCACCCAGCCTCTGCCCTCAGAAACTCGCCGTCCTCTCAGGGAGTGGATTTTATGTGCACAGAAACAGGGAAAGCCACAGACAGACTTTCACAGAAGGCTCAGTCTACCAAGGGGGGTCAAAGGAAATGCTTCCAGGAGTCACAGCAGGCCCGGGGCAGTTGGTGCTGGGAAGGGCCCTGAGTGTGGGAAGGGTCCATCCCAGCAGGCCCTTTAGAACATTCTTTTCATGGCTTGAAGATGAGAGACGTGGATTCCCAGAGAGAAGGTATTCTATGTGGGAGGAATGGCACGATCTAAGGCTCAGAGGCAGGAATGAGCAAGTCACTGAAGACAGAAAGGCCCCAGGTCAGAGACCAAAGAGATGAGGTCAGGGCAGTTACACAGTGACAGGGTCGACAGACGGTAGCCAGGGTCAGAGGAGTAAGATGGGGACACGCGGAGAGGGCATGTTCCTTGCGCTGACAAGCAGTGGGTACATTCAGCCATCTATCCTTCCCTGCCAGTGAGGACCCATTGGCCACGCTCATGGAACCTGAAATCTGTTCAGGAGAGAGCACATGGAGACAGACATGGACACGTGTGCTGGTTTCTGGCTTAGTCTCAGCTGTGTGTGTGACGGGCCACTTGAGGGGCGGAACAGCCACTGCAGACCTGGGTCACAGGGGAAGGCCTCATGCATTAGCTGAGTGGGATTAGGAGAGGAAGAGAGCTTGAAAGGCATTCCAGGTGAGGGTCCAGGTAGGCAGCCGTCAGGGTGGGGATATGGAGAGGCAGATTGGCTCAGAAAGCAGAAAGGAAGGACACCTAAGGTCAGCTATGTGTTGAGCAGGAATAGAAAACCTGGTTGGCTGCAATCTCCAGGACCTTGCACATGGCGCAAAGGGATTTTGATTTGGTCAAGAAGTGGCCAGAATCCAGTGGGGCTGCCTGGGTGGAGAAACTTGGTAAGATTCAGTTGCAGCCCTCCCTGGTGGCGCAGTGGGTTAAAGTGCAGCACTAAGAAGCTAAAGCCACTTCAGCACGAGTTCAATGTCCGCCTGCTCCGGAAGTGACCCATGTGGCGCCACAGACCCCGCCTGACCCGCCCGCTGCTCCCCTCAGCAGTGTACTTGGTCAGTCGGCCTGTTCTGCTCCCCACTCTGTCTCTGGTGAATCCTCTCACCGCCCCTTGCACTTCTGGCCTGTACCTCAGTTCTAAATTAATAAATCTTTTAAAAAAAATATTTAGTTGCTGACCAGAAGTAGAAAAAAGAGAGAAAACTCAAAGACAAGACTTAGGTTTCTAGGGTGGTTAAGTTAGGAAGAAGGTGGGGCCTTGGCTGGAAGCTCTTCGGTATAAGTCAAGGGCTACAGCACGTGAAATCTCGGACTGGGGGCAAGTGGAGGTGCCTGGGACGCAGGAGTTCCTCTCCTGAGACTATGTAACCAGCAACGCCCTATGTGTGCAGCCCCTGCTGCTGGCTGTACTTCACACACCTCTGCCCTCCCTGGCTCACCCTGTGCCCCACCTGGAGCACCTCCTCCCTATGTCTGCTAGCGCCTACTCGTCACTGTCTGGATAACTCCTACTCATCCTCTAGGACACGCTTAGACATCACTTCCTCCTGGAGTCCTCCCTCCCCCAGCCACCGCTGGCAAGGTCAGGGGCCCTTCTGTCCCCTCCTCAGCACCTGACTTTTATCCCTTCACTGTCCTTGTTCCCACGGATGATCTTTGCTATGTTCTTGTCTGCCTCTCCCACCAGGCCAAGCACCTCAAGTGTAGGAAATGGGTCCCTCATCACACATGGGCAGTTTTTTAAGTTAAAGCTCAATGGTGTGTGGTCTGCATTCCTAGTCTATAATTGGCGCTCAATTAATGTTTATTGAATGAATGAATGGGTGGGAGGATGGACGGACCAATGGATGGATGGATGGATGGATGGGTGGATTGGTGGGTGGATGGGTGGATGGATGGGTGGATGGGTGGATGGGTGGATGGGTGGATGGATGGATGGATGGATGGGAGAAACATACAGGAAGAAGAGAAATAGACAGTTGATGGTTGTGCATGGCAACCTTGGGGTGGGCTGGCTAGCCAGCCTCACTGCCAGTGGGAGCATCTTGGGACTGGATCTAGGGGAGCAGGAGGGAACAGAGGGAGCAAGTCTAAAGGGAAGAGGTGGAGCCTCACCACAATGACAAGGGGGATTCAGAACCTGGGGCAGAGGAAAGGGGTCCTGTGGCCCTGCTGGCAGGGGTGGAGGGAGGGAGGATCCTGTTGGGAGCTGGGAGGGTCTGAATGGGACGGGACAGACCTGCAGGGCCAGATACCAGGGCCCTGACCTGCCTAAGCTGATGTTGGTCCCACCCAACCCAGCCCAGGAGTCCAGCTAGCCATTCACACCCCTCCCAGGCACCTCCTTCTGGCACCAAGGAGCAGGGCTGCCAAGGAGGTAAACTTGAGAGAGGGGTTTCCCTGCACATCTCTGTTCAAATGCTATTATACTCTCCATCCCCATCCCCACACTTGCCAACCATCTCCCACCACCACCAATCACCCACATTTCCCTCAGAATGCCTTCTAACAACAGGTGTTTTGTAACCAACTCATACCTCACTCCTAGACTTCCATGTTCCTGCCTGTGATTTCAAGATCCCTACTCCCAAGAAATAAGCCAAAGCTTTGCAAAATGGGGGAACCCCTAGAACAGGAAGGTGACATTGGATCTCTCCTATAGCCCCCAATGTCCTAAATAGTCCACTGTTTAGTTAGGGGCAATATGCTCTTTTACCACACACACACATGCGCGCACACACACCGGGCTACGAGAGCATTCAGGGTCTAGAATTCCTATCCTAGGCTAAATGAACTAGAAGCCTAGACTGCCAGGCTGAGGTAGGCCAGGTCTGCCTCTTCGTTCTCCCCACCCAGTGCCCGCCCGGCGTCAGCATGATGATGTCACCGGAGTAAAGAGACACACCGCCTGCCTGCCTGCCTGCCTGCCGGTGAGGTCACCCCGCGGGCATGGAATGGCCAGGCCAGACCAAGCCCACACACCCTCTGCTGCAAATTGTTTGCTGAGGCCAGTGGGCTCTGCCGGCTGGGCCCTCCTCCCGCAGACCCTGCCGCCCCTCCTCCAGAAGCACCGAGATGCTGGTCAGAGCCGGAGTGATTCAGACGCTGCAGCACAGCAGCGGGCCCAGCAACAGCCACAGCAACAGCCACCACCAGCCACCACCTTGCGCAAGGGAGAGAACAGGCCCAACTGGCCAGACGGGATCCCTGCCCTGGCCTCCCCCACCCTGGCCAGGCCCCCACGGGCCTCTTTGGGGCCCTGCCCTCTGTGTACCCCACCTGCTCCCAGACAGGCCCTCCATTCCTGCCTTGGATGGCAGGCCACTCCCCACCTGTGCCCGGGTCCCAACTCCCCTATCTGTGTGAGGCCTCCCCTCTGATCTCAGGAGGGGAAACTGAGGCTGGCAGCTATAGATAACAGTGTCTTTGGGGAAGGAGACTTTTCTTCATGGGGGAACGTTCTCCATCATACGCCCTGCCAGTACCTATGGGGGCTTACGGGGTGGGGGGAGTCCTGTGCTGAATCTGTAAGGGGAAGGAAGGGTCCCTGTGTCTTAGTGTAGGATCTGTGGCGAGGGCCTGGCCAGTAGAGTGCGTTCCCATCCATATCAGCTGTCTCCTTGCATGGACTTAGGTGCTTGGCACATATGCTCGGTCTTCTATTTCCAACTGAATCCACGCACTTGTCTGTATCCAGAGCACAGAGGTATGGACCGATGTGTGTGAATGAAGCTGTGCACGTCCATGTGTGTCTCACGTGCTCCGTGTGCATGGAGTGCATTCCTGTCCCCGGAACTGCACACACAGTAAATATTTTTATGTTGATTTCCCTGGGCTTCCGCGTGTCTGTCTCCTGCCCTTGTTCAGTGGCTCTGCACCTCTCCAGACCGCTGGACTGTGGCCCAGGCAGCCCTTCTCACCTTGCCCCAAGACTCCAGGGCAAATTCATCTCAGGTGGAGGTACCCAGGGATGAGGTCACTGTCCCCCCAGGTGATGGGAAATTGCCATCAAGGGCTCCCCAACAGAATAAAACAAAAGCTCTGTCTACCCTTGCTCCTCAGGTTCCAACTAGAAGGACTCCCACCCTCCTCACCACCCCCAGCCACTCCCTTGGGCCCCTAACACCTGTGGCCCCCCAAGGAGGCCTCTCCCTGGGAATCTCTGTCAGGGTTTGCTGCTGCCACCACCAGAAAAACCAGCTCTCCTCCAGGCCTAGGGTAAGGTTGTCTGGTGTGGGTTTGGTGGGAAGGGGGGGTATCCTGCCTGAGGCTGGGGGAGGGGTCCAGGCTGTCTAGGGTCTCACACGGCTTTGTTAACTCTTGCCTCCCCTTGCCCACAACAACAGACTCTTCCACAGAGAGCAGGAATATGTGGGCCACTTAGGGCTAAGATAACACCTGGAAGGGAGCGCTGGAGCCTCCCATTCAGGACAGGTGATATAAACAACCCCGCAAGCCCCTTTACTTCCACCCTTCCCCCAATAACCTTGGAGTGCTGAGGAGCTGTGAAAACCAGGAATTCTCTCTCTGCCTTCATCCCCCTCCCTCACTTACTCCCCATTGTCCTAAGCCCCCCAGCTTAGTGAAGCTTCCCAGCCCGGGCAAAGCGCCCACCCACAGATTAGAGTCTGGGGAGGGGGGCCTGCACCCATCACAAAGGGAGATGAGAACAATGGGAGAGGGCAGGCTTGAGGCAGCCCCTGCGCACTCTGGCCCAGACACAGCTCCCAGCACAGATAAGTCCCCTAAACCCCCCGGAGCCAGAGTCTGAGCCGGGCTGAGTCACCACAACAGCCACTCTGTGGGTGGGAGACCCAGAATTCAGCTTCTCCCAAACTCCTGAGATCCTAGCCCCCACCCCTGCCATCTTGCCAGTCAACCCCAGCCCCAATGTGGCCGGCTCTGCCCCACCCCAAATCACAGCCTCAACCCAGCTCTCAGGACAAGGGGGTGGGGAACAGACATCTATGGGAAAGCTCTTGAAGCCAAAGGCTCCCCTCCCTGAAAGTCGTCCCAATCATCCCTTTTAGCCCTCCTCCAAGAGACTGATTCTGAACTTGACCTTGGAATTGCAGATTCTGTTCCCAGGTGCAGCACCCAGTTCCCCAGCTCCAGGCTCTCCTGACTCAGCTCCACCCCACCCCCACCATTCTCTGCAGCAATAACCAATTGGGAGTTTAGAAAACCTAGGCTTACTCTCCTCACTGGACCTGCTCCATGCAGCTGTGCACCCCAATTACTATGCCAGGAGACACCCCCCCCCCCCGGACCCTGGGGCCGTGGTTACAGGCAGGGACCCAGGACTCTACTGTGGGTACTTCATTGCCATCTCCGTGCCTGGGTCCCCTTAGCCCAGCTCCCTGAAATACAAGGGTGGGACCAAGGTCAGCGGGGCCACAGGGCTTCCCTGGGATTCTCCCAGCTCTCTCACCTTGGGCGGGGAAGCAGGCCTCGCTTTCGGGCTTCCCTGGGTTTGGGTAGGTCCTACAGGAAAGGGCCTGCCCCCTTCTGTAAACAGGAGGAGAAAAGCAGGGATGGGGCCCCTCCCTTTCTAGGAAACTAACCTCAGACTGAAAGTTGATCCTCAGCCTCCAAACCCAGAGAACCCCATCCTCAGTCCTGCAGAGCCCTGTTGGACCCAGATAGGGAGCTGGAAGTAGGATCTCATTGGAGGGGTATTGTAAATTGGGGCTCCTTAGCCCCGGGGCAGGAGATGGGGGAGGGGACCTCACCCGGAAACTCATCCCATTAAGAAGAGACAAAGAGCCCTGGTGTGGTGGCGCCTCCCAAGCCAGGCCTCCTCTCCCTGCCAGGGTGGGGCCCGGCCCCTGAGGCTCAGAGCCCTAATGGCCCGGGACTGGGGGGGATGGGGGGGCACTAATTTGCAGCATTGCAGGGGCAGAGGCAGCATCCTGGGAACAGCTACCCTTGGTTCCCCTAGAGATGGGACCCAGACTTTTTCCCTCCAGTCAGCACAGCGAGGCCCACCACTTTCCCTTGAGCCCCACCTGCTCTGCAGTCAGGGGCTGCACAGTCACAGCCACAAAACGTCAAAGCTGGAAGCACACCTCTCGTCTCACCTCTTGGTCTACTGAAATCTAGTTTCTCAATTGACCAAGATCACCTGGCATCCTAATGCAGAAAAGGGGCCAGAACCATACTGATTCTTGACTTCCCAGTACTGGACTTTTTCAGAGACAAGAAATACTCCAGCCCCGACTGAAGTGTCCACACACACAGAGAAGTCACAATGGGTGGGGATGGGAACGGACTCATCCAACACTGGGGTCTGAGTTCCCACCCTCAGAGGGCCCCCCATCACCATTGTCCCACCTTCTCCTATCACCCACCTCTCTAGGCAGTTTAGAACAGCAGTGGCCCTCAGTAGCATTGGGTAAGGTCAAGGGTGCCGCCCTAAGCATAAGGGGGTCTTCCTCCTTCCCCTGGGCTTCTCGAAGAAAGGGCAGCTTTGATAGAAAAGGCTGGGCCTGCACCTGGCCACCAGTGCATCACGCACACTCAGTAGAGGTGCCATCCTTCAGCAGGGCTCAAGAGACCAAGACGCTGCCCAGGTGTGCTCCAACACTGGTTAATCTCACAGCCCTCTCGCCTATTTCTCTCAGTTTTCCCATCTATAAAACGAGGGAGCTCTTTGATCCCTTCCAAGTGTGGAGACATCTCAGTTTTCTTTAGGTGTGGGTAGATCCCACAGGAGAAGCCCTGCTCAGCTCCTTGGCCCAGAACCAGCCCCACCCTCTGGGCCTGAGCAAGTGAGCAGTGCGGTCTGAAAGGTGGGAATGAAGCTGTGGGGGCAGAGTAGAGGATTTGAACACCTGATCCTGTGACTGGAGGATCAGAGCAAGAACAGCCACCACCAAATATCTCACCCCACTCCCCCAATAGCTTCAGCTGGGGATGGGGGGGGATCTCTGCAGGGCCTTTGAACAGCAGGGGTTCTCTGCTACTGCTCCTAACACTGGGGACCCTACTATCCTCTAGATAGGGCTCTGTCATCCCAAGGAGAAAGATTTTGCTGTTACTTTCCAGGAACAGCCTATGGCACCCCACTGGTCTCCTGGTACCTGCATTCTTATACACACTCTTCCTCTTGCTTACATCACTCACATCTGCTATAGAGTCATTAGACAGGAGCAACACAGGGCATGTAGTTGAGAAAATGGGGGACAAGGGATGAACAAAAGGAGACCACACCGTCCAAAGACATCTTGCCCTAGACACCCCCTGCCTCACCTAAGTCATACCTTATCACCACCTGGCATCTAACAGTGCCCAGGGAGGGGGCCACGGTGAGAGGAGCTCCAGCCCCCACCCCTCGTCCCCCAGAAGGTGACCTATCCTGGATTCTAGAACACTGGGGAGACAAGAGATAGAAGCACCCTGTCTGCTGTCGGCATCAGGCTTCCTACACCCTGATGACAGCACACACCAGCTCAGCCCTGACTCAGCCCCAGTTCCAGTCAGCACTTCTGAGGCTCCAGGAAGTGCTAGGGTGAAAGGCCCCCCATTCCACCCCCTGCCCACCCGCATAGGTTCACTGTATCTCTACCCCCAGAGCCAGCCCCAGCCAGTGCAAGGCTTGGGAGATAGTAGGGACCACAGACAGAGCCTTGACCTGGGGGCTGGAAGGGGATAAGAAGGGAAAGGGCCTCCCTGGTTCTTCTGGGGGTACCACTGGCAGTTGGGGGGGTAGGACAGAGATTGGTTCTTCAGTCCAGAGTCAAAGGAAAAAGAATGTGGGGGGGGCACCCCAGGGAGAGCACCCCCTGGGACAAGTGCGCGTCCTGAGGTTCAGGCCAGGCTTACCTGTAAAGGACGCCAGCAGCAGCAGCAGCAGCAGCCAGGCCTCGGGCCCCCACATCTCGGCTCCCAGGGACAGGGCCATCAGTTGAAAGACAGGGCTGCCCAGTGTCTCTGAAGTTCCACCGCGTTCTCCCTGGGAGCCGGCTCTAGAGCTGGGAGGGCACCAACCCAGAAGACAGGAAGTCCCCGAGTCCTCCAGGCACGAGGCCCTCTGCCTCTCCCTCTGGGGTCTCCACTAGGAGAGCTGGCCCCGTTCTACCCACCCAGCCGTAGCTGCCCCCAAGAAGCCGTGATCGGGAGCTCTGAGCTCCCCCAGAGCAGCTTCCCACGCCGTGGCCAACAACGACGGCAGAAACCTGGGAACCTGCTCAGCAGGTCAGAACAGGTGCGTCTCCGGGGGCTGGGCCTGGCACAGAGACTCGCAGCCACCGCCCCCACGGCCTGGGCTGGCTAATGGGAGCCAGGGAGGGAGGGCAGGACTGGGGGGGATCCCATCTTGTCTCCGGGTTTTGCCTTGGAGCGTGTGGTAGGGGCTGTAGGAGAGGCAGGGAGGCGAGGGCAAGGCCTGAGTGGTCAGAGTAGGGCACCAGGCCAGGGTGGACATGGACAAAGCTCTGCTGGGTAGGAAGGAACCCTAGCATCCACACCCCTGTCAGCCTCCCCAGGGCCTGACCATGTTCCCTGTCTCTTGCAGGGTTCAGTTCTGGAGTCGGAATGAACGAAGGTCAGAACTGGCCCAGATTTCTCACCCTTCAGATGAGGAGACAGGCCAGAGAGGGGAGGGGGCTCCTGAGGACACGTAGCTTTGGTAGTCACAGTTTGCTCAGACACCCTGATGAGGAGCTAGCTCAAAAACCCCTGAGAAGGAGCTTAAGTGACCGCCTGACCCCACCCATGTACAGAAGCCAAGGGATTGAGCGAGGACTTTGTTCCACAGGTTCCTGGCTCGCTGGCAGGGCCCTCTCCCAATTTTAACACCTTCTTGTTACCTGGCCGCATCCCAATAGTGCACCAGCACTGCTTGAGCAGCAGGAATGCTTGCCACCATGCCTTTGCTCAGTTAGCCCACGTTCGGCAGACAAGACCACAATCTGCACTTTGCCATTTCCACCTAGATTTCAAATATTCTCTCTCTCTCTCTTTTTTTAAAGATGTATTCATTTATGTATACAAGAGCTGGGGTGTAGGCCAGAGATGCAGGGGATGAGAGGATTCACCAGTCAGAGTGGGGAGCAGAACAGGCAGATCTACTGAACCACAGTGCAGAGAGGAGCAGCGGGTGAGGAAATTGTCTGCTACACAATAAGGGAAACCTCCTTGGCCAGGGATCAGGCTGCAGTGACTGCCAATAGCTGCATAGTGCTGAGACTTCACCCCTCACGCCACCAGGGAGACCCTGATTGCAAATCTTCTGGCTATAGATTCTTATACATATAACCATACTTGGAAGACCAGGTGTCTCCATTTGGGGGACACATGAACATGACTACCAGCTTATGTGAAAGCAGCCAACCTAGGCCAGGGGCACTGAAACATGAATTCTCTGAAAAATTCCAGAAAGCAAGGGCCAAGATCCCTGACACACTGAGGCTAGAAACCCAGGGAAATACAGAGACAAAGACTAGAGAAGAAATAAGATACAGATTGAATCTTGCAGCAGGACTATCTGGCGAAAGGCAGGAAGGAGAACAAGAGCTGTAAGGGGCAGGGGATATTTCACATCTCCTATTGCTCGGTCAGCTCTACCTGTCAAATCAAACACACCTTTCAAAACTGACCTCAAACGCCACTTCTTCACGAAGCCTTTTGGGCCTTCCCTGACATTAATCTTCCTGCCTTCTGTTCTCCTCAGCCTTTGCCCATACTTTATTATAGCTTGTGTCCTCGTAATTTGTGTGCATCTTATCTCCTTAACTAAATTGTAAGTTTCAAGTGGAGAAGCATTGATAGGAGCGGGCTCTGTGCCAGTGGAACTGGTGGAGGTGCGACACCAGAGGATGGACACCAGTTGCATGTGGTCCGTGGGCTCCTCAAACATGGGTCTTGGCTCACGAGCCTGTCCTCTGGCTGGGACAGCCCTCATATTTCAGGGGGAGGGACCACATGTCTGGTGAAGACCTGAATGTGGGATGGAAAGGCTATTTGTTGGGATCTAGCTCCCCTTGCTTCATCCCAGAGGAGGGGTGGAGAGGCTAAGGGAAGAGTCAGGGAAGCAGAGATCCTGCCTGATTTGCCTAAACTTGGGGGCTGTGACCCAGCCTTTCACTCTGCCAGGGGTCCGTGACCCCAGCTCCAGGCCGCAACCACAGCAGTGAGCTCTTCTCCCAGGGCTATTTCCTGTAGGTCAAGGGGCTGCCTCAAGGGCCAGGCCAGTTGCCCAAACTCCTGCTTCTCTCCACCTCCACCTTGGCGAACCCCTTCCTCTCTTCAGGTCCCCACCTGTGCCAGGGAAGAGCCCCACCCCGATGTGGCTTTGAGATCCGCTGTGGCGGGTGGGGTAGGGCCGGGGGGGAATGGGAGGGCGAGCATCCTGTGTTATAATTATAATTATCACACCTTGGATCCTATCGCCTGGTTTCAGAGGTGCTTCTTCCCTTCCCACGGATTCACCCCTCCTGGTGCAGGAAACCACAGGAGAAACTGAGGTACTGAGTGGGAAGGCAGTTAGATCACAGGGGGGCACCCAGTGCCTACCTAGCTTCAGCCTTTCCACTCACAGGATTCCCCTGCCTACTGGGAAGTCTGCGAGCCCTGAGGGGAGCCCGTCATCATGTACCCAGATGTGTGCAGTAAGGAGCACTGCAGGGAGGCAGAGGGACTACTCAGACCAGGGGGTGTCCTTTATTTCATTGTGGCTAAGTTGAGGTGCTGGTGGGCGCAAGTGGTGACCTTGAAGTAAGACTAAGAGCCCCTTGGGAGGAGAAGAATGTTTGACTGAGGGGTATTCCAAGCCTTTACTGGAGGGAATGGTCTTTCTCTCCCTCATCTCCAAGACTCTGCACCCCCATACCCTCACAGGGGCATGCTTTCGGGGTATCCATCTTCATGCTTAGCCTTTCCTCCCCTCTCTGGGATGAACCCAGGGAAGGTTGATCCCAACCTGGGCTTAGGAAGACTTCCCAGAGCAGTGCTGGGATCATGGGCTCTGTCCTTTCCTCCATACTGAACCCCCACTCCTCTCATGCCTCCCTACCCGCCCACCTCCCACCTGCATTCTGGGGCCTAAGAACGGGAGCAATTCAAAGCAAAGAGGCACCTCTAGCACGTGCATCGCTAAGAAGGGCGACACTGCCCACGTACCTGCACCCCTGAGTTCATTCAACAGACATTCAGCAAGCGCTACTCTTTTGCCAGGTTCTGGGAAGGGAGCAGAGACACAGGCATGCCCCTGCCTTCAGGAAACCCTCAGAACACGCCATGTGCCGCCACCACAGTCTCCTGCGGGCCCCTGTGTGTGCACACACCGCGTCCCTACTGGCAGCTCTCTCTGCACAGCGCAGGCGCCCACTGGCTGCGTGTGTCCAAGCAGCCGCTGGGAACCCATCGCTGTCCTCACGGCAGGCTGCACACCTAAGCCAAACCGGTTGGAGTGGGTTGTGCTGAAATTTTTGTTTGTGTCAATGGGACTTGGAGGTGAGTCAGGGAGGGACAAGGATGGGTGGGGTGATGTGGGGGAGAAGAAGAGTGAGAGTGAGGGTCAGGGTAAGTGAGGGGGAGGCAAAGAGGGGGTCAGGGTGGACAGGACTGGGTGGGGTGTTGGAGGCTGGGCCAAGGATGGGTAGGAGGGGTTGAGAGCGCTCTAGCATGAGTAACATCCTGTTTGCTTGCAGTGAGATCCTAGGTCAGAGCAGAGGCAAAGGCTAAGGGGAGACCCCTGGGTTTAGGAACAGAAGAAAACAGTAAATAATACATCAGAGTGGAACTTGCTGGAAACACCATGTGGACATGGTGTTTACTCTCCATTCGCACCCGGGTCAGCTTCTCTGTAATGTTATATTACTCCCAGTCTGCTCTTTGCCTGGTGTCTGTAGCTTGTACAGAAAGTTAGTAGGGGTCTGATTGACACTGTGGTGGGAAATTACTGATATGGGACTCAACCCCACCTCCCAGGATCAAGGCTAGTTTAGGTGGAAGCTTCAAGGTCAGCCCTCCTGCTCCTTCCCTGGAGGGGTGCAGAAGGACTGGCCACACAGACCATAACCTTTCCTCCCTTGAAAGGCCCTGGGCTCTGAAGCAGCTGCTGCTTCACTGTGTCCAGAACTAGGATAAAATCTCCCTGTCTTCCAGGAGATTCCATGAGTGTGCTGCGTGCAACCTGGCTCCAGCCTGCTGCCCTGCAGGCCCTGTGACCCCCCAGTGCCAGCCCGGCCTTTGATGACAGTCACGCTTCCTCGTTGCCCAACATCCCTTAGAGCTCAGGGGCTGGATTTGCTTGTTCCTGAAGCTCCCTGGAGTCGGAATGAGCCACCCAGGGGAGGAGGTAGCTGAGCAGAAGGCACACTTGGGCCATTTCTCTGCAGACTACTCTGAGCAGAGCCCTCTTTGTGCCCCACTGTGCCTCCCCCAAGCTTCTGTAACGCATGAAAACTGGGACCCTGTGTCTTAGGATGGGTTTGCCCTTTTAGAAGGTTAGAAGTAGGTCCTGATATTCTTAGAGGAGAAGAGGAGCCCCCATGGAAATCAGACTCTTCCAGGTGGTGACGCCAGCAGCAGAAGTTGCAATGGCAGGGAGGAGAGGAGAGCAAAGGTTAGCATGTTCCTAAGAATCTGGTGAAATGGATTTTAGTGAGGACCCTGCATGCTCCCATCTCTGTCCCAAGCACAGAAAGAGCCAGGCTGCTCCCAGAGAACCCCCTGCAGGGGACATGGAGGCAGCTCTGTGCAGCCAGCCTTTGCACTCATGTCAAGCAATAGGGTGGGTTCTGCAGGTGTGGTTTCTCTTGCAGTTGAGAGGGCTACTTGCTAGCATTGGCCTGCCACCACCCGACTTGTCCTCACAGAGGAGGCCTCCTGAGGCCCTCCAGCCAGGCCCTTGGACTGGGCGCTGAGGAGGGCAGGACAGTTGTGGAGTGGAACATGGGA